TGAAAAGGAAAATACACAAAGTATCAGATATATTATTTAATTTGAATTATTGTTGAATAATTTCTTCTTTATCAGTTGGTAAATATATGAATAAGATTTAAAAAGAAATAATTATTAACTGTCTTTATTGACATTTGAATGGACACAAATTGGAAAATCTTTAGCAAAAAAACATGTTCGTTTAGTTAAGTTTAATTTAGTTTTAAAGAAGACTGTCGTAATATTTGGCATACATAGTGAGTGTTTGCTTCAGATAAGAGATTAAATACGCTACGGCTGTACAAATGAATACACATATTAGTACAAAATACAAATTTATCTTTTTCAGTCAATTCTGGCATGTGTCCAAACTTACAAATGATATCACCGATGGAGTTTTATGTGCTGATAATCTTTAATTGAGACTTGAAAGATTTTTATAAAGTGATACTGGATAATGTCAGCATGGCACGCAATTAAATGTTTGATTAAATGAATGGTCTCAAAGTAAGTGATCAATAAACCAACCCAACAGCTGGAAATAACTATCCAAGAAATTGATTTTGTATAGACTTACTTATTTTTAATCAACATTTGGACATTTATAATAGTATCTTTTTGGAAATATTTCTGTGGGATATTGCTGTGATCATACAAATGAAAACGGACACGGAAATCATTTTATAATTTAATGTGCATAAACAACTTGAATATGAAAATGTTTATTAAGCTGTTAAAGACACTAGAACTGGTTTAATGAAACGACAAGAAATGTGGAAAAAAACAAAAGCCGGGGAACAGGTAAGTGGCCTTGCTGAAATGGAAACCGGAGACTTTGACGTGCTGTTTCCTAAATTGTCTTCACATTCTGAGACGAGCAGCCGGGATATTTCTTCTGCCGATAGTGTGAATAATTCGCCTTTTCATCATGATGAAGCTTACGCTACTTTACCTTTATCAAAACACATTGAAAAGCGTACAATGAAGAAAAAGAGGGTAAATTTTAAAAAATCGTCTTACACATTTGGATTAACGTTCGGAGACAGAACAGGAAAAGACCATTTCGACTCACTTAAAGATTTTGATGTCAATAAAACGTCTAGCAAGCAAGCAAATGTTTCTGCTAAATCCAAACCAGAGCATGCAGACAACCTTTACCCATTACCTAATGCTGAGAGTGTTTCGATTGACTCTAAATCATTTGATGACGAACATAAATGTGCCACTGTCACTCAGCATAAGTCACAACAAAACAAACCTAAAAATTGCAAAGGAAAGGCTAAATCATTTCGTTTCAAACAACCTTCTTCTGCGTTCCAATGTGTTTCTTCTGATCTTTGCGTTCAAAGACATTTATCAGCGTCAGAGTCAAGTCGGCTTAATAGAAATTCAGCAAGACAACAGCAACGCAATAACAACAAATCTATGCATTTTAAGGCAATGACAGACAGTTCGGAATTAGATAATGATGATTTTGATGTCGATTCTTCACACGAAGACAGTATTTTAGAGTTAATGGTTGCAAAGGAAGAGATGTTTCCATTACATAAAAAGCATGGCAAATCAAATAAGGACACTGATTTAACAGACAATAAAGTCAAACAACGACAACTGTTTGATCATCCTAAAAAGCATCGTGAAAATTCATACGATATGATTGAAACTGGAAAGATCGGAAGCAGAAAATCACAGCATGGAAAAAACATCTTTTTAAAGAGATTGATAGGAAAGGAGTCAAAATATGTTCTTGTTGAACTTACAAAGTCCAATGTTGCGTTGAAAGAGTGCATACAAAAGGCAAAGATGAATAATGAACATATTGAGCTATTTTTAGAAATACTAGCCAAGGCATATGAATGTGAAATGGTACCAAATGCCATGATTATGCTATATGAAACTTTGAAAGAAAATGAGTTTTTCGACACGTTGAGCCTGTTTCTTATTGACCTCCAAGATCGTTTAGAAGACCCTGAACACCGGATTGAGCACATAAAGATATTAAAAAACATTCTTGACATTGTTGTTAAACAGATAACAATAAATCCGTTATCAGCAACGTTCTTATCAAGGGTTTACAAAGTCCTTAAGCAAATTTTTGCTGAAATGAAAGATGACGACGGCCATGCCCTTGATAAAGATATTCAGATAAGGTTCACTATTTTGACAGAGCGAAGAAAGACCGCAGAAAAATTGTTGATATCAACATCAAGTAGTAAAGACAAATTGCAACCTCCGGAAGATTTTAGGTTGATACAGGTAACGCCAAGTGCCAATGAGATACAATGTGCCGCTCAGCCATTTTTGAGGCCAAACAAAGTAAATGGAGGATACGATGATCTTGATCATTATTTAGACGTTCAATTCCGGCTTCTTCGTGAGGATTTCGTAGGACCTTTACGAGAAGGAATCTCACAGTATATCAAATCAAATATGGGAATGCAAAAAGGGCAACAGAAAACGAATTCAGATATCAGAATATATAATGCCAAGGTTTACTCACCAGTTATAACTGAATGTGGATTTTGTTATCAGCTTAAGTTAGAGATGACACCACGTCTCCGTAAAACAAATTGGTCTGTGAGTAAAAGGCTAATCTATGGGTCTCTGCTTTGTTTAACAAATGACGATTTTGCAACTTTAACTTTGGCAACTGTTGTTGGAAGAGATGATGAAGACATAACACGTGGATTATTTACAATACAATTAGATGGAGGATTTCACACAACTGATTTCCTTCATCAAACATTTAAAATAGCAGAGACATCAGCTTATTTTGAATCCTACAAATATGTCCTTAAAGGATTACAAGCTATTAAACCAGGCGGAATGCCATTTGAAAGGTATATAGTCCACTGTGAAAGCAAAGTTGATAAACCTGCTTATATTTCTACAGAGACAGTTTTTGACCTCAGTCCTCTTGTTGATCAAAATGCTAAAATATCAAATACAAGGAGGTTACCAGACCTAGATGTGACAAGAAAAAGAGACTACATGATGCAGCAAAGCAGTACCGGGGCCCAATCATTAAATGAAGCTTCAGAAACTGCAAAGGCAGTGAAAATTCTAGATACGAATAATTGGCCGAATAAAGAGACCCTAAATTTAGACGAGTCTCAGTATGCTGCAATACAAACAGCTCTGACGAAAGAATTTTCAATCATTCAAGGACCCCCGGGGACAGGAAAAACGTATATTGGACTGAAAATAACAAAAGCTCTGCTACATAACATACACTTATGGGGGGAACCAAAAGTTGACAAAACCGTTAGGCCTATGTTGATTGTGTGCTACACGAATCATGCATTGGATCAATTCCTTGAAGGAGTTTACAATTTTTTTGAAGGGGATATTGTTCGTGTCGGAGGACGAAGTAAAAGCACTATTCTAGAGCGTTGCAGTCTGAAGGCCTACCGTAAATCTTATGCTGAAACCAACAGAGCAGTACAGTTGCAATTGAAGGCTGAACTTGAACAAAATTCCAGTAATGTTTCTCTGTGGGCAAAGTCACTTGAATTGTATCATAGTGAAATAGTACATGAAAAATATCTATTTCATGAAATGAGTAGGCGTTTCTATAACAATCTCGTAAACCGCACCCGAAAAAGAAGGAAAAAAGGTAACTTGGCAAGTATTGCGAATTGGTTAGGCATTGCTCACATAGTAGAAGAAACCAAACGACAAACGAAAATAAGGGAAAATGAAAAGATGTTTGTAAGTGTAGATGATGAAAAATCTGAAAGAAGAAATAAAAGTCTACTTGAAGGAATAGATGACAATTATAAAATATCTGGATGTGAAACTAAACTGATAAATAAAATACGCATGAGTACCATTGCATTTTATGTTGAAGACATTATAATTCCAGAAGATACTAACATGAACCCGGAGCTGCTAGCAGAATTAGACTTCAGAAGAAGCTTAAAAGAGAGGCTTCAAGTAATGATTATGGCACCTGAGGTAATGAGTCGAGAAGAAGCAGACCGTATAGGAAATATTTGGAACATGACTTTTAAAGATCGATGGCGACTCTACCGAATGTGGTTACGACAGCTTTGTAACAATATCTATAGTAAAATTGAAAGTAAAAAAATGGAATTCGAGGCTGCCTCAGAACGATATCGAGACTTTATCCTTGAACAGGAAAAGGAAATTATGCAAAATGCTACAGTTATTGGAATGACGACGTCGTGCGCAGCAAAATACCAAGCTACCTTGTGTGAAATAGAGCCAAAAATAGTTATTGTAGAAGAAGCTGCTGAAGTTCTCGAAGCGCACGTAGTAACAACGTTAAGTAAAGGATGTCAGCATCTCATATTGATTGGAGACCATAAACAATTAAAACCAAATCCAACTGTCTACAAACTTGCTGTGAAATACAAACTTAATATTTCCCTTTTCGAACGAATAGTAAGTAACGGAATTCAATTCAACACCCTTAAATTGCAACATAGAATGCGTCCGGAAATAGCTGAAATAATAAGGCACATCTATCCCGAATTAAAAGACCATGATATTGTGAAGTCCTACCCTAATGTAAAGGGTATTTCGTCTAACCTATACCTCATAGATCATAGGCATTCAGAAGAAAGCAACGAAGACTTAAGAAGCTATTCAAATTTGCATGAAGCATTATATATCACAGCATTGTGTCGTTACCTGCTGTTACAGGGCTACAAAAGACACCAAATAACAGTGCTGACTACCTATACTGGTCAATTGATGTGTTTGCGGAAACAAATGCCTCGTGATGAGTTTGAGGGAGTAAGGGTGACTGTTGTAGATAACTATCAAGGTGAGGAAAATGATATTGTGCTTCTGTCGTTGGTTCGAAGCAATCAGGATAGTAAAATAGGGTTTCTTAAAATAGATAACCGTATATGCGTAGCCTTGTCAAGAGCCAAAATTGGATTTTATTTAATCGGAAATTTCACTCAGCTAGCATTGAATTCAAATTTGTGGAAATCTATTGTTAGTGATATGAGATCACAAGGCAAGTTCGGTGATCAGTTAAAGTTGTATTGCCAAAACCATCCAAATGATGACGCAATTGTTGCAAAAGAAGGAAAGGACTTCAACAAAGCTCCTAACGGGGGATGTTCAAAAAAATGTGAAACTAGGTTGAATTGCGGTCATGTTTGTCCAAAGTTTTGTCATGTCGAAGACAAAGATCATATTCAGTATGAATGCATGAAGCCATGCCAAAATACAATATGTGTAGATCACAGATGTCCCGACTACTGTTTTGAAGTTTGTAGACCTTGTCGAGTGCTTGTCAGTAAAGTTGTTCCAAATTGTGGACACGAACAAATGATCGAATGTTCATTACCATCAGAAAAGTTCATTTGTCAAATGCTATGTGAAGCAATTTTAGCATGTGGTCACAAATGCACAAAGCTGTGCGGTGAGAAGCACACAAAATATTGCAAAGAAAAGGTAGATCGAGAGTTGCGATGTGGTCATACCATCTCAACTGATTGTTACCAACCTATCGATGCTATAGAGTGTCCTGAATCATGTCAAACACTTTTAAAATGCGGTCATCTATGCAAAGGAACATGTGGATACTGTAATTGTGGCCGTTTTCATATGCGATGTAATAAAGCTTGTAAGCGCATTCTTGTCTGTGGTCATGAGTGCAGTGATGTTTGTAACAACTGTCAACCATGTACAGCAAAATGTGAAAATAGGTGTGTTCACAGTATATGCCAAAATAGTTGCGGGGAATTATGTGTTCCGTGCCTGGAGCCATGTGAGTGGAGATGTCAGCATTTCAGATGTTCTCAGCTGTGTAGCGAACCTTGTGACAGACCAAGGTGCGACGAACCATGTGATAAATTATTACAATGCGGTCATCCGTGCATGGGTTTCTGTGGTGAACCTTGTGCAGAATTCTTTTTGCAGAGTATGTGATTTTGAAAATTGTTACAGAGATACTGTTTGGCAATGAAGACGAAACCAGGTGCAAGATTTGTTTATCTTGAGGACTGCGGACATAACATTGAATCAAGTGCTATGGATACATATATGGACGCTCAACAAGATGAGGAAGCTATACAGCTAAAAGGGTGTCCAAAATGTAAAACTCCAATACGGAAATGCTTAAGATATGGGTCCGTGATAAAAGAAAATCTACATCAAATCGAAATGGTAAAGCAGGCTAACGTTAAGAAAACTTCCCTCGACGAACTTCAAAATGAGCTTAAAAAAGCAATTCAAAGTTCACCACTTCGAGAGGGTCGTTTATCACATCTTAGGTTGTCAGGTTTCGGATTTGGTAGAAATGAGAAAAACCTTAATGATGATAATATAACAAAAATCAGTGGCTTATATATACTCAAATCAAGAGTGTCAAAAGATAACAGCAAATTGTGGACAGAAGTTCAGATTGCTACCATAAGGAATCAACGTGCAATTTTCGATGCACTTGATGATATCAGCAGAAAAATGAAGGGAATGAAATCGCACAGCCTCGAAAGTGAGAAAGCCCTTCTATCGTTTTACTCAATGCTAAAGTTAGATATATTAAATGAAAGAAATTCTCTAACAGAGCAAGAAATTGATGATTTTCAAAGAGAGATAGAGAGAGGTCATGATTACAATAGGGCCTCTAAAATTAAATGAAAACAGTCATTGACCTTGATAATTCAGACAGAGTTTTAGAAAGCATTAGGAAAATAGAAAACATTTTGCTTAAGCACGAAAGATATACCGAAGATTTACAAAAGTGCGTGAGACAAGAATTTGATATAATCAAAGACCTTACAAAGATAGATGGACTTGAAATCAGCGGTGAAGAGCGATTAGAGATTGTCAAAGCTTTGGGATTATCTAAAGGCCATTGGTTCAAATGTCCTAATAGTAAGTACAATGTATATATATATTTTACTTGATGTTTCTGGTGTAAATAAAGATTTATATCATCAATATTTCAGATTGATAATGTGTAACTAGACTTAGAAATAAACAAATACATTTAACTATGCAGTATTGGTGATTTACTATCAAGATTTATTTCAGATCACATATATGCAATCGGAGAATGTGGTGGAGCTATGGAACGAGGGACATGTCCTGAATGCAAAGAAGAGATAGGAGGAAATCAGCATCGTCTGACAGATGGAAACTCACTGGCTCCTGAAATGGACGGTGCTACGTTTGCTGCATATTCAGAGGAGGCAAATAATATGGCAAACTTTGATTTGAATGATTTACAGTAATAACATGAAATGGATGTAAATATGACATATTTCGGAAGGACAGCACGAATGATCGGTCGGTGGTATTCAACAATTTCTGCATTTCTATGTCGTAATTACTTAGTCCACGAAGCATATTTTATATTAATGACTTACGACATGGCTCTTTTACATAACGAAGCATGTAAACGTTAAAGTTGTTTGCCTCCAGGAGCGAGTAAATTATAAAAGCTATTCCTTCAAGTTTGGTATTCGTGTTTACATTAATGCAAAGTCGCCTTATCAAAATGGCGGAAAATCCTAAATATTAATGATTTAATGCAAAGTTTGCTCATTCTCAATAAAACACAGCATTTGGTGTTCAACTGGGTAGCTCTTATACGAAGGGTTTTCTTAAGGTCAAAATGTCTTAAGAAAGGTGGCTGCAATTTTGTCTAACAGGGACTCTCTCAGTTTTACATTTTTATCTGGTATTTTTCTTTAACAAGTACAATTAATGCCCTAAAATGTAACATATGTTACTGTCGCCACCTAGAATTTTCAACTTTGAAAAATAAGTTCCAGAATAAACGAAACATGTGCAATTAGTCATTGCTGCATGCATACGCACTTTAATAAAAAGTGGAAAATATATTTGATCGTGACAGAAATTACATAACTGAAAAAAATGCATGCTTAAATTATTTTACAAAAAATGTTTTTTGTTGTTGTTTTTTTTTTACCTTTACCTGTATTTGAATAAAATGAAACATGCGTGACATGTTGTATGGGGATAAATATAGAACTGTTTTGCAATAAATTTTCCAAATATGAAGAAAGTGGAAAACTGAATATTTTGAAAAAAGGTTGCGAAATAAATAACATTTGTGTATGCATTCGACCTCTTACATATAATATATGATATATATCCTTTGAATGAAGACATAAAATAATCATTTTCAAATATTGACTCTTTTTGCCTTTTACGAATATTAACTTTGAAGAAATTAACTGAAAAATTAGCGAGGTACCCAACTTTTTTTAATTTTCCTGGGTTAGGAAGTCCCTCGAGATATAGAATTTACAGATTTGCATATGTTTTACAGACATTTGTTATTTATATTCAGCCAATATGCTACATTATTAGATCTGAAATCTACGTTACCGAGCAAATACAGTGTCATTACCGAAATAAAGCCATCATGTTATATTATAATTTCTTGTTGAAAATATTTCAAATTCTGGCAAACTTGCAAAAAACCCTTAACTTTTACTTCAGCGATAAAAAATGACACGATGACAACATTAGATTTTTAATATTTTCCAACCTTAAATGCTTCATTTTATTGAGAATGGGCGAGTAATGCCCTTTTTCAACTTAGATTTTAGCCCTGGTTAACCTATGTGTTAAAGTCTATTTTCTAACTATAAAAGCTTTTCACTTCAAACTTGATAATTATACATATTCACTATGAAAATATGACAACTTTCAAAAGATAATCCAAGGCTTTGTCCCTTTTTTATTTATTTCTGTTATCTTCGAAAAAAAAATCCCGTACATTTTAAAAGTTTATCAATTTAAACTTGGAACACTAGTTACATTTTTAATTGGAATACATTTTTTAGGGTAACTTCAATTTCTTTATTTTTCTAAGTTATGCCCCCGTTTTGACTTTGTATTTCTTTGTGAAACCTTTTGTTTAGGTATAATTCTCAAAAAAAAAATAAATAAGACATTCATTTTAAATTTGGAGGACTTGTTCCCTTTGAAATTTGAAATGCATTTCTAAGGGGCAGATAATCATGAAAGCCTTTTATTGCTTTAATATTAAAAAGTGCCTTTTTCAAACTTGAAATATTTTAGGACTATCAAGAGCAGGTTAGTCTGCTTATCGCATTTCCAGAATTATTCCCCTTTTCTATGTCGATTTTCTTTAACTATCCAGCACTGAGAAAAATGGAGGCCGTTTTTCTTTGACAGGTCTTATTTTTTGGGGTTTGTACGGGGTTTTTGTTGTTGTTGTTTGGGTTATTTGTTTGTTTGTTTTTTTAAAGGGACTCTACAGAGTCTCGTTTTCTTTTTACATGGACTGGACTGGAAGAATTATTTTTCCAATATTTGTATACCACTTGATGTTTGTCTAGACCAATAACCTTTGTACATTATTTTCCAGAATCAACTTTTTATTGTGCATAATAACCCAAAAATGAAAATGGAAAGCTTTGCAATCGTTGCAGTTGATTTTCATTTTAATTTCAATATTTCTTTATTATCCTTTGTAGATTTTTTTTCAATTTAAGTGTATCACTTGATTTATGTAAGAATTTTTACTGTTATATTTTTGGGATTTTTATCTCAGTGGAGTTATATGTTCATGTCAGTAAATATTCGTGCATTTGTCCAGAATTGAGTTGTTTTTTTATGTTTTCAGATAGCACATACATAGTATTCATTTGTATAGTATTTTACATCTACACCGTTTAGTAATTTCTGTAACCTTGAAGATTTCTATTCTATCTACTTCATGAAAATAAAATTAAAGTATTTATGAATAAATGCTTGTAAAAGGAGATTATTTTTCAGGAGCTGCAGTAATGATTTTTCATTTGAATAAAACTTGTTAAAGTTATTTGTAATAAAGAACTATCAAAATTTCAGTTTATGAAATTTGTGCAGTATTTGAATGCGTGTGATTGTAGAGATTTCATGCTTTATTAACATTTTATTATAGAATTTTTTTTGATTTTTGTATGATAACATTTAAAAGTCACAAAGACTTATTGTACATGTTGTACACGATATTTAAAATATACGTCAATTCTTTTTTGTTTGTTTTATTCAATTAAAAGTAAGCATTTGCAAAGAGCATTTAAGCGTTTTGCATTAGCTTAACAACCCAAAATAACTTAGACTGATTAGTTAGCAGCCAATTTCCTAAAGTAAATGTTTTTGCGATTAATTTTGAAAATTTCAATCCTTTTTGGACAAAAATAAAGTATTGAAAAGCGGTGCGTTTTTCCTTATTAATAAATAAGCGAAATAATTATATGTTTTGCTAGTTGTAAAATTCAGCTAATTAAGAAGACTTTTTCGTGTAACCATTTTTCCGACAGTTTCAGTTGAAATCATCGGGGAAATTACACTAATAGGCCCCAAAGAAATTATAAATGTATATTTATAATGATAAATAAATCATTTACAATTTTTATGACATTTCTATACAGTACATGATTATGATGAAGATCTGAAAAATCAAGATTGTTTTCTAAACATGAATACAATGCATGTCCATATATATCTGAAGATGGCATACAATGCAAAACCCTAATTTTATTTTCTAATGAAAGGGGTAATGTTATCTCCTAGGATTTAAATGTGAAAAGTAAATAAATAAATACATAAATATGATAGAACTTGTTTGTTTATTTGTTTAAAATATTCCATTCCATTTGTCACAAAGCACCTGAGGATTAGAACTATCAAGATTAATCCACAAAGAAAGAATGAAATCCCTTTGTATATAAAGGGTTGATCGCAAAACTGCTGTAAGTTCTTCTTAATTTCATTCAAGTGTCACAGGGTGAGAAAAATGTGCAGCCTGACCGGTACTCGAACCTGGGACCCTCGGAATACCGTACCGCGGCTCTACCGACTGAGCTATCCGGCCGCTTACACATCTTTTCCCCTAAAAAGTGAACAGTTCTGAACCGTGACATACTCCCCTGCTATATTCGTCCTCGAATTTCACAGAGTTACAGAGCAATGTGAATTAAACTCTGAGCTATATCCAGTCACGACCCCACGTTGGGCGCCAAATGTCACAGGGTGAGAAAAATGTGCAGCCTAACCGGGACTCGAACCCGGGACCCTCGGAATACCGTACCGCGGCTCTACCTACTGAGCTATCCGGCCGCTTACATATCTTCTCCCCTAAATCGTGGACAGTTCTGAACCGTGACATAAGATACTGGAGTTATGCGATCAACCCTCGATAAAATGCACACACTTTATGGCCAGTTAATTTGTTTTGTTATATCAGGTCTCAGTGACCTTGACATTTTGTCCTGAAAATGTGTGTGGTGGGTAGAAATCATCAAGGTGTCTCGACATATGAAGTTTGAATGAGTGACAATAAACCCGACAGCCCGAGCAGATGATACCAGTGTTTTTATAGTCTCAAATTAAGTCAAGCAAACATAAAACAATTGGCCCTATTAAATATGAATAGAAATGCATGTAAAAGATTTATAGGCAAACGTTTATTAAAGCATGTCATTATAAAGATATGCAATGTCAGTTTTGTTTGGTTGGGTAGGGTTTTTCGTCGCAACAATACTGTAAAGATCATATGGTGGCCTCCGGTGCCCAAAAGTCCAAAGAAAAATTAGAACGCCAAGGTGTGCGCTGCACAACTGCATCGTTATTATCACAAAGAACGTCAAGCGACGGCGCATACTTTCGCATCGTCGTCAGTGCATTGTGAGCACAATGAAAGAGCATTGCACGCAGGCTATTGCCAACAAAATCCTAAACTTTTTCATATGATCCTACGGCGGCTCTGGGCGTGATACCAAACGCAGTGGAGACCCGGTGCACAATGAAAGAGGCATTATATAACTGCCAATATACTGACTTATAAATCTGAGACGATATTGTGGCAGTCGTGTTATTTTTAAATCATAAATACAACCAGTCTACAAATTATGCTTTTCGAAAAACAATTGTAGGTTGTATTTCATTCCAGCAAGACGTAATTGACGCAAAATGTACATAACATGTATATAATGAATTATCTTGTGTGTTTGGTACAGTCTGACTTCTTTAAACCATAACCCACTTTATTATTTACCGAAAATTAAACGGCTTTGTTTGAACGATCATTTCAAGAAAATAACAGACGTTTCATGTAAAATATGCAAACATATTTACAGAAAATAAGAAATTAAATCGATAACATCGTTTTCAGAAAATGAAGATATGAAAAAGTTCAATTCAACAGCATTGATATTAATCTAGATCAATATCAGTTCAAATATCGATTGTAACAGAATAGCAAATACCTCTCCTATTAATTTTATAAACACATGACAGTGGTTCAATATGATAGCAATTAAATATTCTGTTCAAATATTCATATATTTTAAGCACAGAATAAATTTACAGGAAAGAACTGAGTATAAGTAGAATATTACTGGTCATTTTAAAATTACAAATTGAAATCTTTGAATCTCATTTGCCCATTCTTTGTTGAGTAAAACAATTTAAAAGATCTTTCTAAAATGGTTTTCTCGTCTAATTCTTAATTAATCTAATTGAGTACCGGAAACGACTTTTTTCTAAAGTTTCTCAGATTGTTAAGTTCTTTCAATTTCAAGTTAGGTTTTGCAAACATTTAAATTACAACACGTTCAAATTACCATCCAACTAATTATTTTACATTGTTTTTTTTTTAAAATTCAATATTGTATAATGAATTTTGTCCAAAATGATGAGACCACCTATCCGTACACTCATGCGAACGAAAATATAAAAAAAAATACAAAAACGAATTAATCCGGTAAAACGGTTTGTCAGTTGTAACTGGTTTAGATTACACAATTAATTAACTAACGTTTTGTTGTTTTCGGATTCTAAGTGTCTTCGTGTGGCGGCCGTTAAAAGTCTCCGATTACATGCAATCCATGTTGTTATATTCCATCCTCAAGGGATTGTTTGGCGTTCAGTGTTGGTGTCTCCCTCCGCGTCCAGTCTGCAAATACTAAAGTTTTTTTTTTATTTCCACTTCATTATCATAATTTTCATACCCAAATTTTCATTAATCTTACCCTACTGCAGACTCTACGATCACTGTTTTCTTTAATTTTCTTATCGGTTACTACTTTTTTAAAGTATCATTTAAGTGATTAGCCGGTCCGTGCTCTGCCTTGCGCCCTGCCCTGTTTTTGTTTGGGGGTCCTCCTGGGCTCCTTACCACTGGTTATTGTTGCTAGGTCTTACGGGGGTTACGTTCATTGAACGCCGCCTTTTCGTGTTGATCTTGTTTATCATATTTTTTGTTTTTTCTGCCGGTGTTATTTAGTATCAGCACGGCTTTATAAACTTCCTAGATCTATTTTGCTTTATTAAACTTCAATTTCTTTAGTTATTCTTTTTAAATCTTAAAAGACATTCAGACCTATAAAAATTGACAAATAATCTCTGTTTCCATCCAAATAAAATAGTGAAAACAGAATCCCTAAAGAAAGGGTGAAATGAATTGAAGCAAAAGAATTATTATAAGTACGAATAAAATTATTAGAATCAGTGGTTGTAGTGTATGTGGTAGTGTCGTCGATCTTTGCTGATGATTTAATTGTTGAATTTTGGATATGTTAATACGGGTTAAAATACAATTAATAGTATCTTTTATAAGTATCATTCTTAAGTATTATATATCACTTTCAAAAGCAAATCAAAAATATAACAGATAGATGACAATTGAGATACATGTAATGCATCCATGAAAAATGCAAACTTTATTGGAAGAGTTATTGACTCTAGTGATTCAGTCAAAACTGAACTGTTTTCAATTACAACTTTGAATTTGCACACATAATTACTGCCATTATTAAATCATTAAACAGGTACTGCTAGCATTTCTTTATGAATACAAAAATACGAAATAATTTTGCAAGTTAAAGCAGATCCACTTCGGCAAAATATCTTTTTTAAACAGAGAACATTTGTAGAAAAAGAAACAAGAAATATTGTTCTAAAAAATATTTATTTAATTTCTTTTTGAAAAATATTATTAAATACCTTGAACAAACATCATGTCAGTTTCATAGCATACGTTCAATACTGGAGTTTGTTGTACGTATGTTGACATTGCAATTTTTAGGTACAACATTGCTTGTTCCTCTCGTTTTAATTTTAAATTAATATACAAATCATAGTGAAAAAAACCATTAAAGATCCTGTATGTTTTGTGATTGATATTGTTACTGTGTGTATACCACACTTGCAAAAATTATATATGTATATAATTATGCAAATAAAACATCAAAGAATGTGTAAAATGTGTACTGCAAATATTTGTGCACATTATATTTAATCAATAAATTGTATGCATTCATTTCTTATTGAAATATTTGACTAAGAATTTACAGAAAATACATTTCTAATTACCTCCCTTTATTTACATGAAATGTTAAATTCGGTAATATCTTTATAAATAATGCTTATTAGAACTTACTATATTGACAAATCTTAATTTGAGCATCATATTTATGAAATAAAACCATGATAAAAATGTGTTACAGGATCATTAAGAGCGTAATCATATTTCTAGTAAGTCAATAATACGCCTTAATCAGCCGATATGAATTCTGAAAAATGAAATGAAACATCAAATTTCAATAATTCTGGGCCATTTGTACACATTTGCGATGTAAATCTATGTAACAAAACAAGTCAAATGCGTAATCAAAATTACTGAGATGAGATATACGTTGTCTAAAAGGATTTTCAGGACATTAGCCACATTAATATAAAGACATACAGACAGAATGGAAACCAATACATGTAATTGACTTTAATATTCAAACATGATTTGATTTCACAACATGTTAATTGGACAAATAAAATGGGATGCATTGAGATCGTGTTCGAGAGAACTGCTTTCGAGCAAGGCCTAATCTTTTTTCTTCCTTTAGAATGTTTTTGCAAAATTTCAACAGCTGTCTTTCTGCCTGTATGTCTATATGTTACAGTAGCAAAACGGAAGTTTACTACTGACTTTAAAAGAAGAATTTTACATCCTGGATTCAACAACGATAATACAATTTCTCCTTAAAAGACATTCAAAAATATCAGATCTTTTTCTTAAAAGGGCTCCACTAAATTTTTTTTACATGTGGGACGAAAATATTTTTTCCCGATAAATGTACCATTTGATGTAGGTTTTTGACTCTAATCTCTGTGGCAAAATTTTTAAACATTCGCGCGCTTCGTTTTTCCAGATAATTATTCAAATTGTAAAAAAAGACCCAAAATTTAAAAGCGTTTAAATATTTTTGCTGAAATCGGGCTAAAAAGGCATAAAAAAGCGATTTTGAATTTTTTCAAAGTATATTTTTCAACGGGTTTTGTATATTTTCTGTTTAGGTTCCCCCTTCATTTATTAGAATCAATTTCTTCCTTATAAGCTTTTCAAATACAGATACTATATCTTAACATCGCAAAAATACTAACATATGATTAACAATCTCTCAAAGGAATAATTCCAGTACTTATCGACTCAGTAAAATGTTAACAACATGAAATATTGTTTATAGGCTTACATGAAAAATATCTCAGTCAATAATACGTCATTATTGAAATTATAAAACATAGCGAAGAATAGTGTCTCATTATTATGACATTATTATCATTATTATATAGAGTAACGTATATGATTAATAATCAACAAATTATAGCATATTTTAAGTGCATATTTCTAAAACGTAAGTGATAAAAATGAAGCCTGTAGATTAAAAGTGAAAGAAAAAAGCAACACCATGTGAACCCTGTTGTACCGGATCTTGCGGAATTAACAAATTCGATCCGAAAGTATATACAAATGTTTGTTTTATTACGCCGCAACAACACAACAAACATTTGTAATTAGTTTACATCCAATGATCAAAATAAACGAGAGTAACTAAACTACTGCAATTCACCTACTGTAAATATAGATTTGGCGATTTGCAAAAATCACACTAAATAAGTTTGCCATTGAATGGCAGGACAGTGTTTTACTTCAATTTATGATCATAAATTCATTACATAAATTAGTATAAGAATTAAGCTGTACATTGCTCAATATTTCTGAAATGCAGTCTAAAACAACTTTATATTGCAGCATCATTGCTTTCTCACTGTAAATCGTGCATGTCAAAGTTTGCCATGTTATTTGCTTCTTCCGAATATGCTGCAAAAGACGCTCCATCCATCTCCGGTGCCAATTTGTTCCCCTCCGTCAGGCGATGACGTTCCCCTCCAATGTTTGCATTACATTCTGGACATTTTCCTTGTTCCATAGCCCCACCACATTCACCGATAGCATAAATATGATCTAAAAGATATACATTTGTATAAGAAGCTGTTGAATTACAAATTGCAAACAATTAATGCGGACGTTTGTCGATTTACTTGTTTTCGTAGTTTAATATGCAAATTGAAAGAACTCTTATCCTTATCCATCTATTCATAAAGTTATATCATCAATATCATTGATGATGATTAATAAATTTTAAATTTTCGTTTTAACGCCTATTTCAACACATTTGGTCATCTCAGCGGCCGGTCTTTCTAACAGGTTTTCCTGGAAATCTTACCAGTAATTACCAATTACTCACAAATGACTACCTGCTTATCCAACATGAAATGATTGAATTCTGACTAAAGACCATTAGGATCAATTTTCACGGAAAAGTTTCGCCTAACCACAGGGTCGAACCAGCGATTCTTGGATTATCAATCCGGTGCACCCACTTGTGAGTTTAACGTGCGAACAATACACGTTTGATATTTCATTGAAATATTTTAACATGTCATTTGATTACTTTTTTTGAACTTACTGTTTTGACACTTAAACCAGTGTCCCTTCGATAGTCCCATTGCTCGAACAATTTCCAATCGTTCTTCTTCACTTATTGCAAATTCAGTGAAGTCTTTTAAGTTGTCTAATTCCTGTTTAACTTGGCATGCGTTCTCATCTTCGTATCTTTTAGGCTCTTTCAATATCTTCTCTATCCTTGAAATCTGTTCTGATGCGTCTTCAGATTTTCCGACCACTTTTATTGCATCTTTGATTGTCAATAATCTGACGTAATCATTCCCTCTTCGGAGCTCGTTCTTGTAATCATCAATCTCTTGCTCTGAAAGTATATCCCTTTCTTTCAAAACATGCTCAGGTAGTTTAGAGAAAAACGACCAAATGTCATTTCCTTGCAGTGTCCCTTCTGTTTTCATCAATCTATATTTCATCTTCCAAACTACATCAATAAATGCTTCAAAGAACACATGCTGATTTTGTAACGTAACAGTTTGATTTTCTGTGCATATCGTTCGTTTATACTGTTCTATTCTCGAAAGAATTGTTTTTATACACTGCCATTTCATATAACTTTTTGTTGATTCAAATATTGACTTGCTGTGTTCTATTGCAACGTAGACCTGATCAGATTTAAGCATTTTGCATAAAGAGGCTTCTAGACTGTCAATATTTGATTTGTCTTTAACTACCTGTTTTACTCTTTCAATTTGCCGGAGATTTTCTTTAATAACAGCCCCGTAACGTAAACAGTTGCGTATTGGAGTTTTACACCTGGGACACCCTTTTATTTGAACAGCCTCGGTCTCTTCTTTCATATCCATATATGTATCCATAGCTTTTGATTCAATGTTGTGACCGCAATCCTCCAGATAAACAAATCTAGCATCTGGATCGTCTTCGTCACCAAAAAAAATATCTGTAACATCTTCAAACTTGCATTCTCTGCAAAAGTATTCTGCACATGGTTCACCACAAAGTCCCATGCATGGATGCTTACATAGTAATAATTTATCACACGGTTCATTACATCTTGGTCTATCACAAGGTTCGCAACATAGCTTGCTGCACTGGAAATGTTTGCAATTCCATTCGCATGGCTCTTTACATTGCACACACAACTCACCACAACTGCTTTGGCACAGACTATGTACACATCGATTTTCACATTTTTCTTTACAAGGTGGACAGTTGTTGCAAAAGGCGGAACATTCATGTCCACAAACTAATATTTGTTTACATTTATTTTTGCATGCAGGATGCACTCGTCCTCTTAAGCACTGTCCACATGTTCCCCCGCATAAATGTTCACATTTAAGTAACGCCTGACAAGAAGTAGGGCATTCAATTTCTAAAGTTTTTTGAAAGCACTTGATCGAGACTGTATGGCCACATAGCAATTCGCGTTGTATAGATTCCAGACATGTGCTTGTATGAGGCGCACCACAAACTGCTTTGCATTGATGACCGCATGGTAACGTGACTGTGCATGGCATCTGGCAAACAAATTCTTTTGGATTTAAATAGCATTTTACCTTCTGCTCGTGTCCACACGCTGGTATGATCTTAGCAACAAGGACTTGGCAAGGTCTACACTCTTTAAAACATTCGTCGGGACACTTGTGGATATCACAAATAACTCTTTGGCATGGTTTTCTGCACCGATATAAAACATGATGTGTATCTGAAACATGACAAAATTGTTGACACACGTGCCCACATTGCAGTCTTGCGTCACATCGTTTAGAACATCCACCATTAGGAGCCTTTTGAAAGTCTTTTCCTTCTCTGGCAACTATTGCGTCGCCGGTTGGGTGGTTTTGGCAGTACAATTTCAGTGAATCTCCAAATTTCTTTTGTACTTTCATGTCGTCGATAATTGTTTTCCATAGGCTTGAGTTTGCGGAAAATTGAATAAAATTACCAATGAGATACATACCAATCTTAGCTCTTGATAATGCAACACATATGCGATTATTTGTTTTCAGAAAACCTATCCTGTTTTCTTGATTACTTCGCACAAGTGAAAGAATAACAATATCATTTTCCTCTCCCTGATAATTGTCAACAACTGTTACCCTAACTCCAACAAACTCTTCAAAAGGCATAACGTTACGTATACACATTAACTGGCCTGTATAAGTTGTCAAAACTGTTATTTGTTCCTTTCTGTACTCTTGTAAAAGGAGGTATCGACAAAGGCCGACGACAAATAATGCTTCGTGTAGATTGGAATAACTCTTCATTTCGTTATTGCTATCCTCCAGATGATCGTGATGTATTAAAAAGAGATTGGAAGAGACACCTTTCACGTTTGGATAGTCCTTAACATTGTCATTGTCTACAAGCTCTGGATAAATGTGTCTCATTATTCCTGCAATTTCAGGTCGCATTCTGTGTTGTAGTGTTAAACTATTGAATTTGATTTCATTTGCGATCATTCTTTCAAATAACGATATATTCAAATTATACTGTACGGCCAATCTATGAACAGTTGGATTTGGTCGAAGTTGTTTATGGTCTCCTATCAAAATTAAATGCTGGCAGCTTTTACTTAATGTTGTTATGATATGTGCTTCAAGAACTTCAGCAGCTTCCTCAACAATAATTATTTTTGGCCCTATTTCTCTCAAAACGGATTGATATTTCGCAGCACCAGATGTTGTCATTCCAATAACAGTTGCATTCCTCATTATTTCCATGTCTTCTTTCTGTAAACATTCACGATATTGTTCAGATACTGACTCATATAATAGCCTTTTCCTTTCAATGTTGTTGTAGATGTCCCTACAAATGTCACTTAACCACATCCGATACAATCGCCATCTATCATTTTGACTAAGACGCCATATACTCGAGATACGGTTTGACTCATCGTAGCTCATTATATCTGTAGAGGTTATAAACTCATGTAAGGTACTTTTTAAAAGTATTTTAAAATCATTTTCAGCAGCAAGTCTTCGCCGGTCTGCCTTACTATCCATCATATTTGGATTTATGGTATCTTGAACAAAGTATGCTATCGACAAATCCCTGACCTCCCTAACAAAACCCATCCCTTCATATAAACTTTCCATTCTACCGCATTGCCTTCTTTCTGACAGCTCATCATCCACAGAAACGAACACCTGTTCTGACCGCCATGAACGTCTATTATTCTGTAACTTTCTTCTTACATCAACTTCTAAGGATGTTATTCTAAGCCATTCTACAATCCTCGACGTAGTTTGTCCATATACTTTTCTGCTATATTGGTCAAATGTTAAACTATGATAGAAACGTTTTGCCATTACTCTGAATAGAAAATGTTCATGAATTATTTCATATTGATATAATTCAAGCGATTTGGAAGAACGGGACACATCTTTTGACAGTTCATCAAGATTTGATTTTGTCTGTAAGCGCTCACTCTTGATCTGACCTAGTGGCGTACTACTGTGTGAAAAGCAATGACGAAAATTTCTAAGATTATATCGATGAAGGACATTGCTTTTGCTCCTTCCTCCAACTCGTAAAATATCGCCTTTAAAGAAGGAATGAACACCTTCAAGAAACTGATCCAGGGCATGATTAGTGTAACACACGATTAACATTGGACTGATATTCTCTTGTCCGTCAGGTAATTCCGAAATTTGCCATTGACTTCTATTGTGCAATAGTGCCCGAGTTATTTGAAGGCCTATATAAGTCTTCCCTGTTCCTGGTGGACCTTGAATGAGAGAAAACTCCTTAGTCAAAGCATTCTTTACAGCTTCGTATTGGGATTCGTCAAAATGAAGAGCCTCCTTATCTGGCCAACTATCGTTGTCAAAAATATTCACACACTTTGCATTATTAGATGATGTGCTAAAAACTGGTGAAGGTACCGGCATGTCATAAATTTCTTCATAGTCTTGCGGCATTTTTCTCGTTACGTCAATATCGGGCAATCTTCGTTCCGCAACAATCTTGATTCCTTGCTCCATTAAAGGCCGAAGATCATATGTAGACTCGGTTGTGAGATAGGCGGGTTTGTCCACAATGCTTTCACAATGCACTATATATTTTTCAAATGGTATATCGCCTGCTCTTATTTTCTGGAGACCATTCAGGACATGTTTATAAGATTCAAAATATGCTGGTGTTTCTGCGATCTTAAATACTTTATGCAGCATGTCCATGTTTTTCATGCTACTTTCTAAGTGGATAGTAAACAGTCCCTGATTTATATCTGATTCATCTCGTCCAACAACTGAAGCTAGTGAAAAGGTTTCGAAATCATCATCAGTTAAACACACCAAGGAACCATAAATTAATCGCTTACTGACAGACCAATTTATTTTTCGGAGGCCTTTTGTCATTTTTAGCTTCATTTTTATGCAAAATCCATGTTCTGTAACAACTGGTGAGTGGACACTAGCATTGTAAATCTTTAAATCACCTCCAGTTTTTTGGTCTCTTGGTCTAGTAGTATCTTTGTTTGTTACTTTTGTTTTAAGGTAATCAGATATTCCTTCGCGGAGAGGCCCTACAAAGTCTTCCCGTAAAAGTCGGAACTGGACATCTAAATAATGGTCTAAGTCATCATATTTTCCTTCTTTTTTGTTAGCCCTAAGAAATGGTTTCACGCATCCTTTAATTTCGTTTGAACCTGGTGTTATTTGAATTTCCCTAAAATTTTCTGGTGGTTGGAATTTTACTGTAGTCAAAGATGATTTTAAAGATTGTTCTACTTCTTTTTTTCGTTCTGTTATGAAAGCAAACTTTTTATCTATGTCTTCATGAAGAACATATTCATCTACATCCTTTAAACAGTTAATAATTTGTCCAATAACTTTATACACTCTCGAAAAAACAGTAACTGACGATGGATTCCTTGACATCTGTGATACAATTATTTGGAGTACAGCTTTTAAAACTTTTTCGTGTTTGACAGCGTTCTCTTTATCTTGAATGTCGTCTTGCATGTCAAAGAGGAACAAAGCTAAAGTGTCAAAGAACTTATTTTCTTTCAAAGTTTCAAAAAGGAGGATCATTGCATGTGGGGATGTATCACAAGTAAAGGCGTTTTCAAGGATGTCTAAAAACTGTTCAAGGAAATGATTATTTTCCTTTGTCTTTTCAATGAATTCTTTCAAAGCAATTTCTGATTTCGTTAAGTCATTAAGAACTGATTTCGAATCTTTATCTGTAAACATTTGAAATGTTAATGGTTTCGACAACTTTGACCTTGCAACACGTTTCATCTTTAATTCTTTTTCCTGTGGGATTCCAAAATTAGTTTTCGTTTTCATTTTTGGAAGTTGCCTAATGGTCTCAGATTGTACTTCACTTGAATTGCTACTGTTACGAACACGAACAGTTTCTATGTCTGACACAGCTGTTCTTAATATGGTGTCTTTATTTGAAAAATGTGGTAAATCATGTTCAGTTTGAATATCACCAAGACTGTGTTTTGGGTTTCCACGCCTTTCACGTTGATCAGAGGGCTTTAGTTTCTGCCAGCGAGTATTCCATGAACGACCGTTGCTTGTATTCGTATATGTCCGGTATGAACTGCTTCTCAAACATTCAGCTCTAGAATTGACTGATAATTCAACTGAGGACAGTGGTTCTGGCTGAACTTTGTGTTCCTGCAAAGAATTTCCAAATGACTCTTTATGTGTTTGTTTTTCATCTTGTATTCCACTCAAAGTTGCGGTATCCGAAGAAGGCGAGCTTTTTCCTTCGCAAGCTTTCATTCCTAAATTTCTTTTTTCGTGAAGAGACAATTGTACTCTTTGCTGTTTAATTACATATGGCGCGACACAGTCATTTTTATCATCCAACGATTCCTCAGGATTAGAAATCATCTCTGCTTGTTCTATTTGGTCTGCTGCTACATTATCAATATCATTTTTGCTTGCATCCCCTTTGTTTGAGATACTTGTTGACATGCTTGATAAATCGGACCATAGTATAGTTATATCTCTATAACTTAATTTAGTTTTACTAGCATTTTATTCATCCCAGATAGATGTATCATTATTCATACGTGTTGAGTTTAACCTGAAAACAAAACAATCAAGAAATGCCTGTGTCTCGTCATTTTTTTGCGGCTAATAAAGGTTTATATCAGCAGAAGGTTTTTTCTTTTTCTAACAAAAATTACAAGCTTTGCATTGACCCTATTCGACCAGTATCGACCATGCTTTTGTGAAATTTACTTTTTCGTTAATTATTTACGCAACACGTATGCCTCATAAAAACAAAACCTTAGTCAAGTAACAAAGACGTCTAAGCTCTTATGTTAACTTGTTAAGATAAGGATTGTAACCTATGCCCTTGACCTACTGACCTCTAAATATTAAACATCATCTATCTGTCTTGGCCAATTTACTTTCAATCAAAGTTTGTAGCAACACCTTATCGAACATGCGCTTTGGTCAAACTCATCTGATTGATCACCTTGACCTTGTTATTGAACGAACAAGTCTTATTTTGTTTTGGTTACCTTATCCTTTAACTTGCCGACATTAAAATACACTTTTCATGACTAACACCTCAAAGAAAACTAAAGACCACTTAAGCGTTCCTTTTAAACTGGTCGGACTAGTTTCGAGTGGTCAATATTGATCTTGATCTTTAACCAAATGACCAAAAGATTAAAAAATGATATTTACTTCTTAAAAACTACGACTCGTTTGATGCAATCACTATATATTGAACGGACAAACAGATACATTAACCTTTAACCAACTGACATAAAAATATCTACAGGAGCCATCTACTGACCATGTCCAATTTTTTAAGGCTCACCTGTGCTGGTTCCAGGTGAGCTTTTAGGCCCGCTGAATGTCCGTCGTCTGTCGCCCACCAACATTTTATTTCGTTAACATCCCAGTGGTCACACTTTTGTCTCAATGTCAGCAAAATTGGTCAGGATGTTTGTCCAAGTAATTGCTCGGACGAGTTAGTACATAGGTCATCTCGGAGGAAAAGCTGGGTAACATAAACCAAAAGTAGGAAAAATTTGTTAACACTTTGGTAGCTACTGTTTCGGTCCTATTATTCCAAACGGTTATCTAAATGATTTCTAGCTAACGTGCGAATATTGTCACCTGTGGTAAAAAAAAACTAGGTCATACAACACAAATCTGGAAAAAATTCTCAAGAAGCTACTGCTTCGGTCCAAATATCCTGGCAATTGGCCGAATGATTTCTAGCTCAGGTTTGAATATCGGTTATCTTGCTTAAAAAAAGGTTACACAGCACACAAATGGAAAAAAAAACAGTGTAAACAATCTATAGAAAATATTGTCTGTCCATATATCCTGCAAATTTGTCAGAAAGGTTGTTTTTACGATTGCAAGCTCAAGTTTAATTACGAGTTGTCTGGGGTGAAAAATTAGGTTACATGGCCCAAAAATGGTAAAACATTGTTAAAATTCTTCAGGTAACATTTTCAGTCCAAATTTCCTGAATATTGGTTAGAAAGGTTATTAAGATGATTTCTAGCTCAGGTTTGAATACGAGTCATCTTGGGTTAAAAAGCAATATCACCATTGCCTCATCTCATGCCAGCAATAAAGCATGAAGGGATATCAATAGACTCCCTAGATACATAAATAAATTATAAATAGAAGATTTTTAAATAACAGTTTGAAAACGAACAATTATTTTTCTCTTTAAAGATCACTGGATTTCCATTGACCATTTTTGACATAAAATAATATATATCAGTTCATTGCATTACCAGTGGCTAAGTTAGAACTCATATTGTCTATTGACCGTAAGTGTTGTAAGCCTTAAACGGTCATATACGTGTAGACTGTACTAGAATTTCATACAAGCTTATCTCACAACACTACAAAATTTCAAACAAGAGGGCCATGACGGCCTTGAAATCGCTCACCTGTTTATAGACCCCTGGGCCAAGGTCAATTTTAAACAAGGGGCTTTTATTTGAACAAACTTGGTAGACACCCATAAGAAGAAGTTTCATGATAAATATCTAAGCTCTGGTTCTTTTTGGGTTTTTATAAGAAGATATACATATAGGGAAAAAACAATACCCCACCCCAATTTTGACCCCAGGGCTTTATTTGAACAAACTTGGTAGACACTCGCTAGACGATGTTTCATGCTTAGTATCTAAACTTTAGCTCTTTAGGCTTTTTATAAGAAGATTTTTTAAGTTTTAACTATAGACATATAAGGAAAATCAATGACCCCTGCGGTGGGGCTAATTTTAACCCAAGGGCTTTTATTTGAACAAACTTGGCAGACACCCATTAGAAGATGTATCACGCTTTATATCTAAGCTCTAGCTATTTGGGTTTTTAAAGGAATATTTTTTAAGTTTTTACTATGTACAAATAAGAAAAATTAATGACCCCCGGGGCGGGGCAATTTTGACCCCAGGGCATTTATTTGAACAAACTTGGTATAGATGATGTTTCATGCCAAATATTTAAGCTCTAGCTCTTTCGGTTTTATAAAAGAAGATATTTTAAGTTTTTCCTTTCGGTTGCCATGGCAACCAGAGTTCTGCTTGGAATTAAGTTCTTTGAACAATTTTAAAGTTGACTACAAAAGGAACATTTCTGTGAAGTTTGGTTGAAATTGACTTAGCGGTTCATGAGGAGATGTCGTTTAAAGTAAAAGTTTACGGACGGACGACGCACGGACACCGGACGAAAAGCGATCACAAAAGCTCACCATGTCACTTTGTGACAGGTGAGCTAAAAAGGTGTCCATTCCCCTTCTATTATCTTTACTTACCCCTCTTCTTAACAATATTTCAATCAATTATTTTTTTATTTATTTCTGCAAATAGGAAGTGGTAAATAGATTAGTTATTTAATCATTGAATCGTAATTGAAACTAGGTACTCATTTCGGATACACTACTATCGATGTCGAAGCTGGTCATAACGATATTAAAAAAGAATGAAATTTGAATCGAAATCCTAAAAAGAGAAAAATGAACAAATATTTAAGTGCGTAGCTCCTGAAGACCTCAATTATTGTGATTATTGTAGATTGTATCATAACATGTGTACAAAGACTACCATGTAAATATTTTTTGAAAGATACATTCTTTGTACATGGCACGATTTATTAAACAACATTTCTGACTTTTTTATTATTGCTGTTACTCGTACATGATTAATTAACCGTTCGCTTAATTTTCGCATTATCACCTCAATGTTTTAACCGATTCCAACCACTATCAAATGCATTAAAAATTAAATTATTTTTGAAATATAAAACATTTTAACTGTGTAAATGATACGCACTTTGTCTGAAATTTTAAGTATAGACCCGCTAGATGCAATTTAAAATAACTTACAGCATTTTTGCATTCGTATTCCCAGATTTATATGATCAAGTGACAGTTCAACAATCCGATATCGAATGACTTGTTTATGAAGCATTTCAAGGTTTTGTACCGATCAACGGAAATACGCAATAGGAGGCTCGTATCGCATATTTAGATGACAGTATATCGTTAATGCGTTGTTGATCATTCAGTAGAAGTGTGATAAAAAAAATAACTCCCAAGTAAAATATGAAAGCTGAAAAGTTCGTTCTTATGCTTACTCAAAGACGATATGATTTGACAAAGGCTGTTTTATGGAAAAGTTTGGTAGAGTTAATTGATGCAATTCATTAAAAAAACAACTTCAAAGTGTGAATGTGTGTGCATTGATGCGGGCGCGTGCACGTGCGTGTTGTTTTTAACTTTTGCTGTTGAAAAAAATGACGTATCTTTGTAAGTATAGGCTATCTATAAATTTTCATTTCATTTTTTAACCTTTGAAAATGTGTCATAAGTATTGAAATATCAATTATCAAAAATGACCAGAAAAATAAAATATCAGTGAAATAATGTATTTTCTTGGAAGTCATACATCTTATCCATTAAGATGTGGAATAATCAGTATAGATGGTAGCCCGATGCAGTTTCCAGTACATGTCACACGAGGTGCTCCATCCATGTGCTTCATTCAAACTTAAAAGGGAATTAAAAAATAATAAAAACAGCTGTCGGGGCCTCAATTTATATGTCACGCTTTTAATGAAAGTCGACGTTCAAGACAAAATAGTCTATTTATACAGTTATTTTTCGAAAATGATATCTTCTTCAATGAACGGGGACATCTCAAAACATTTAAATAAGTTTTACGATTGTTTAACACGAAGAGTAGATTATATCACAAGGGGAAAAGATAAAGATCGTTCATATTCAGTATCGGGTAGTTGTGTCAAGGTTTCTACTCAGGTGCCCGTTTGTGCCTGAAATAATGCACGGAAAAGCACCTGAGGTCTTCCTCCACCAGTAAAGCTGGAACGTCACCAAATGACCTATACTGTGTCGGTGTGACGTAAAACCAAATCAGACAAACAAGTGTCAAGGTTTATTTCCATCATTTAAAGAAACATAGTGCTTGATATATACCATTCTTAAAAATCAATTATACTAGTTTGTCTAATGTAAAACTATATGTGTCACTCGCGTTAAGAATTGAAGTCTTCGACAAATAGTAATATTATTACACACCTCCTCTATTGTTTGTGACAGGTCTATATTTTTCGGATAGACCTGTTTAAACAAAGGAACGTCCGTTATGAGGTCTATCTTTTGCACGTGCACAGGTCTGTTCCAGTCAGACAGACTCGGTCATGAAATACACGTGAAAAAATAGACCTGCCAATACACAGACAAAGAAAACATGAAATGCAATCAAAAATTAAAAATTGAAATAAGATGTAAATGATTGTCATAATGTTCCTGTCTTACAAACTCGGGATACATTTTTTTAACAAGATAATGTTTATTGAATGCACAAAGCAATCATTACAGCATCCCTATATTAAATCTTTGAATAAAAATAATGGATAGCATATAAAAGTAAGGACACATTTAACATTTATTGAATCGCGTCATTTTTCAAAGAAATAGTTATCTTCTGTCATTAAAATCACAATATAACAAAATTGACACTTCAAGTTCATATCTATGAAACTATAAAGCAGTAATCACAGCATACTTATTACGATTTTAAAATGTTAATCAAGTTATAAGTGATTTAGTATAAACGATCATATTTTCTAGAACACTTTATAATCTGCTTTATAAAATATAGTTTCGGTTCATGTATCTCACACTTGCCAACAATATACATATATATTAAGTCTTTCGTGGTGTGCTGGGTATCCGGACATTGCCCTTCGAACAGTTGTCCCCTCGGAAGTTTGCCTCCTTTTTGCAGTGGCGGTAATTTGCCCCGTAATATCTTTGGAAGGGCGGACATTTGGCCCTCCCTGTTTTAAAAATGTTAGACTACTTTATTGTTGAATTGTTTGCTACTCTCGCGCAAATTTGTGAAAGTCAAAATAGCATCCATAAGTAAATGAACTATACTGTTTCCATTGGCATACAAAAATCTATGCACGAGATCAAAAAAGCAAAAAAATGGGACAAAACGTCCGGGGGAAAGGGGCAACTGTACGGACCCGGGGCAAATGTCCTAGACTCTACATTGCCTGATACGAAATACTATCAACATAATTATTCATTCTTTAACATACCTACCATTACATACCTATTCACTTTATGATTGACAAATTGCACACTAAGTTTTTTATTATTATTATTTTAAAGGGAAAAGCAAAGTTAAATGCAAATATATATATATATTATATTTAAGCAGAACTTTGATAAAAGCTTACCTGTATCTGCATTGTGTTAAAAATAATATTTGTGCATAACATCAAATTCTTCGGATCAGCCATTAATCAAGCCAATATGGTTTTACGGTGTGTAAGTTGGATATCGGCCTCGTACATCGATCTTTCTGTATAGGAAAGACCTGGTCACGAATTTCATGAAACACCTCGAGCGCTACGCGCTCTCGGTGTCACATGAAATTCGTGACCAAGTCTTTCCTAAACAGAAAGACCTCGTACTCGGTCGATATCCTATACGTATTTACCACTTATATCAAACTTTAACTACCTTACTGTAAAAAGAAATGTTAAAACTTCCAACGAAAAGGTCAAAGAAACTGCCTATAAAACATATGTAAGGTCCCAGTTATAATACTGTTCTACGGTTTGGCATCCTTGACAAAAATGTCCGGTTTAAAAATTAGAACAAGTTCAAATGTCAGCTGCCAGATATGTTATATAATGACTACAATAACACCATACAATTTAGTGTACAAATGTATCTAAATTGAACAATGATCTTAATTGCAAACTAGAGCAGAGGCGCAACATAAGCTCTGTTACCCTTCTCTACAAAATCCAACACAATCTTGTGAGGGTCGACCATCACCATCTGACACCCACTAGAAACCTGAACTACCTACCTAATACTATACTCAAGGACACAACATCACTCCTATTCATTTTCCCCAGAAGTATTTGTCTGTGGAATGGCCAATCCTTACAAGCAAGTTCCAGTTCGGTCAGCTGCATCCTTTCTACCAATTTTTAGTCAGTTTTGTGTTCATCTTTTTTTTTATCTCAGTACTGTAGTCTTCTTTTTAACTAGCTTTTATCCTATACATTACACATTTTTAACGGCTATACACAGACAACGCGCCTGCTTAGTGTAATCGTAAACGATTTTAAAGCAGTATGGTGTAGATGATGGACTATGATACCTCAATGTGGTAAAAGAACTTGGCATCGCCAAAAATTAAACAAAGACGATAACCAGCTGCCTATGTTCCGACTGAAATCGAGAGGAGTGGCCCTACAGTTTTTGTTTTGTTTTACGGCGCACTAACACACTTTAGGTAATATGGCGCCGAAACTAGAAAGATAATTTTGGCTAATCTCGGGTGTTACAAACTAGTACGGGTACAAGGATGTTTGTGAGGTGATGGCTTGAGTGAAGGCGTCCTTTGTTTTAGTTTTATTTGCCTTATCAAGGTTAACTAAGTTTTTCGTAGTGTCTCCGCTAACAGTACGTTTATGTGCTCTTCTTTAGCTTATACCCTGGAAATTGCACAGAGGTAAATTATTTCAAAATTAATTCTGTAAGGACAGGACTGGTCGGTACTCGACTCGTGCCTTTACTCATAAAGCATAGACTACATACATACATCCTTTTAGGAGATCATTTCGTTGTATATTCGGTGTATTGAATCAAAGCCGATGTAAAGGTTATTTTTGTAGTAAATTCATGCATTATTATACAAAATATTTCCATCATAAGTGAGTCCATGCAAAGACCATATACATGTATGCCCGATATTTGTTTAATCAGAGATGTAGATAACAGAGATAAGCAGCTCCTACTCGTATATACACCATTGAAATATCACTCGTTAAAAAAAGGGGTTTTGTAGCAATTAAAACTTAATTGATGTAAATTTGATCCTTTTATATCATATACCATTTGAAAGTTAAATATTTTATCTATCGCTGCATGTTAAAATATTGGTAACTTTCCTTGCCTTTAACTTAGAAAAACATAGCAGAACATACCCACTGAGCCAGTTTTTTCGTCATATGAATAGTTCTGTAACAAAAATTAATAAGTAGTTCTCTTTAAAAATTGATGTTTCATTTATTTAAATTGGAACTGTAAATATTTTTACCTGCATAAGCTTTCAGAAAATGTATTATTTTACTGATTTTGATATTTGGTTAATAAGATTTACTTGCTAAAAATTTTAAGTTTAGCAGGCATGCGTTATATCTTAACTGACTAGGAAGTTGCCTATCTCTGTTATCTATGTCTCTGGTTTAATAACTGCTAATAAGATAACTGCTTACTGCGATGTTTAAGTGCAAACATATCTGAATATCTTAACAAGAGGGCCATGATGGCCCTAGATCGCTCACCTGACTTATCAAACTCATCCAAACAATTACCTAGACAAGCATTCTGACCAAGTCTCATGACAGGTGAGTCAAAAATGTGACCACTACAGTGTTAACAAGGATTATCCATATTTGAGCAGTTTGACCTAGTTTTTTACCCAGGTGACACATATTCAAACTTGACCTAGAAATCATCAAAACAAACTTTCAGACCAATTTCCAGGATACTTGGATCAAAACAGTAGCAACTAGAGTGTTAACAAGATTTTTCTATTTTTAGCTCCGGTGACCTAGTTTCACATGCGATTTCGAACTCATCCAAGCAATTACCTAGACAAGCATCCTGACCAAGTTTGATGATAATTGAGTCGAAAATGTGACCACTAGAATGTTAACAAGGTTTTTCCATATTTGGGCGGTGTGACCTAGTTTTTCATCCAAGATGACCCATGTTCGTTCTTGACTTAGAAATCATCATAACAACCTTTCAGACCAATTAACAGAATATTTGGATCACAACAGTAGCCACTAGAGTGTTAACAAGATTTATCTATTTTTAGCTCCTGTGACCTAGTTTTTCATCCGAGATGACCCATGTTCGATTTATTCCCAGCAATGACCTAGACAAGTTTCCTGACCAAGTTTGATGACAATTGAGTCAAAATTGTGACCACTAGAGTGTTAACAAGGTTTTTCTATTTCTAGCTCCAGTGACCTACTTTTTCATCCGAGATGACCCATGTTCGAACTCATCCGAGCTATCACCTAGACAAGCATCTTGATCAAGTTTGATGATGATTGATGCAAAAATGTGACCGCTAGAGTGTTAACAAGGTTTTTCTATTTTTAGCTCTGGTGACCTACTTTTTCATCCGAGATGACCCATGTTCAAACTCATCCGAGCTATCACCTAGACAAACATCCTGACCAAGTTTGATGATGATTGAGGCAAAATTGTGACCTCTAGAGTGTTAACATGGTTTTTCTATTTTTAGCTCCAGTGACCTACTTTTTCATCAGAGATGATCCATATTCGAACTCATCCGAGCTTTCACCTAGACAAGCATCTTGACCAAGTTTGATGATGACTGATGCAAAAATGTGACCGCTAGAGTGTTAACAAGGTTTTTCTATTTTTAGCTCCGGTGACCTACTTTTTCATCCGAGATGACCCATGTTCGAACTCATCCAAGCTATCAACTGGATAAGCATCCTGACCAAGTTTGATGATGATTGATGCAAAAATGTGACAGCTAGAGTGTTAACAAGGTTTTTCTATTTTAATCTCCGGTGACCTACTTTTTCATCCGAGATGACCCATGTTCGAACTCATCCGAGCTATCAACTAGATAAGCATCCTGACCAAGTTTGATGATGATTGATGCAAAAAATGTTACCGCTAGAGTGTTAACAAGGTTTTTCTATTTTTAGCTCCGGTGTCCTACTTTTTCATCCGAGATGACCCATGTTCGAACTCATCTGAGCTATCACCTAGACAAACATCCTGACCAAGTTTGATGATGATTGAGGCAAAAATGTGACCTCTAGAGTGTTAACAAGGTTTTTCTATTTTTAGCTCTTGTGACCTACTTTTTCATCCGAGATGACCCATGTTCGAACTCATCCAAGCTATCAACTAGATAATCATCCTGACCAAGTTTGATGATGATTGAGGCAAAAATGTGACCGCTAGAGTGTTAACAACTAAATGTGAACGGACGACGGACAATCATCGATCCTAAAAGCTCACCCTGAGCATGCTCAGGTGAGCTAAAAAGCTAACAATGATATAATGAAATATCAAACATTTTGCACAAATTTGAAAAGAATAAAGGAAAACACAATTTAGCTGTTATGAAATTTTGTTTTTAATTAAATATTTATCATTTAATGAAATACATTTGTTGTATAAGCTATAAACATTGTTTATTACTATTTTCTTTAGTTTGTTGCAAACACTGTGACATAATATTTAAAATTGCAGACAGACAATCTGAATCCCTTGGCAATGTGGGTTTAAATCTGTTTGAGATGAACATATGCATCCAAGAAAACTGTCCAACAATTTAACAAATCATCTGTCATTCTAACACTGTGCCCACTCTAGCATGAAATAATGCATGAAAGAGGGCATCAATTGACTTCCTACAATGCATTGCAACAGAAACAGGGGGCACTTGAGTGAAATCATAATCCATAGTGAAACTTGATGTCTCAACCACAACGGGTGATTGCAGTCCCTGAAGCCAAATGCAAAGCAAAGAAATGAATGCCAACTTGCCAGGTATATACTGTAGTAAAACCTGCAACATTAACCATTTGACCACAACTAGAAACTGAAATTTATCCGATCAGTATTAATAAATTTATATACCATCTATAAACTAAGCTGTTAGTATGAAAAAAATGCATTTATTGACAGTATCATTGAACTTAAGCTATATCTTATACATCAGCTCTGAATTTAACAAAACCTTTGCTATATATTTATAAAGTAAGCTTATACTGATTGTAGAACTATAAATACCACACTGTATTTCATAAAACCCTATGTAAATTACATATAAACACCATGCACTGGCACTGAAGAACTTCTTCCAAATGAACACATTTTGTGGATACTCAAATATATAGTGGAAAACTATGTACAACCTTTCTGCCAAAGAATAAAAATTCAGAGCATGTGCAATAATCAGAACTTCAAAATAAAGTTTAAGTTATTTGAATACATTTCTACACAGAAGTCAAATATAGAGGGTAAGAAGTCAGAGAAAAAGGGTTTACAGAGTAAAGTAGCCAGTCAGATATTAAGAAAAGAAGGCCACACACATGATTAAATAATTATATACACAATGATTTATATACATGTACGTGAAAAGAAATCAAAAGGTCATTTGCACGAACCCAGTAAATCAAGATTAAGAACATCTCATCTAATTAACTGCCCTGTATTTAATGTTCTATAACTTAATCATAAAACAAAAGATCTGTATTGTATGCATTACATAATATGAAATTCTATTTCATCTATGAAATCCCATCCAAAGTGTTGCCTTATGGTTGTAATTCTATTTGACTAAAGTTCAGGTACCAGTAGGTTAAGTGTATAATCAATTATCAACATAAGAAGTTGCCATGATTAAGACCTTAAGGCTTTACATTGTTGGTTGGTGCAATTAAAACCCAACCAAGTTAAAAACCTAACATACATTATGTAAAGTACTCTCAAAATTGCCCGAAAAGATAGTTTTTCTTTTGATTAACTATGTTTTGAATTTCAAACATTTAATCTTTATTAACTTAAAAAAATTGATTTTCCAAAATTAGAGACATGCAAAATAAGCTAATGCTACAATAATTCAATACATACAAATTTGTACAGATACACACAGTATTAGATACTACATTTTCAAAACTTTCTAAATTTCTGTCAGCAAAATCACTTTTCAAGAAAAGTTTCATTAAAATAGGCAAATCTACAGATTCAATACAAAAGAAAGTTTTACATATTTGAATGTCTCTTATTTCCAACGGCAAGTATAATTTGGTCTTGTTTGGCAATTTCTCAACTGTCTCACTTCATATTTTAAAAGATTCTGCACACATTATACATTCGTAAATCACAATAACCATTATAATGAACTTTAAAAATATTACAAACACAATGTTTGTTATCTACACACTACGATGGTACAATATTTTAACAAATTTCCTATGCAGAGTTCAGGTCCAACTTGTGTAGAACAAAGTTCAGGTCAGACTCTTGTGTTGATTTATGCAGTGTCCAGGTCCACATCTTGCTTAATGCAGTGTCAAAGTTCATTCCCTGATTTATGCAGCATTTGTGTCCACTTCTTGAAGAGGTATTGCTAGTTTATTAGGGTTTATTGTCACTGATTTTGTACAATTGTCAGTCTTATAAATACCCACTAATCTGTCTGCCAGCTCAAACATATTGTTACGTAGAGATATAATAATGAACTGAGCATTCTTTGTCCTCTCCTGTAATCATATAACATACATAAATATATAACCTCCTGAAATCATATAATATACATAAATATATAACCTCCTGAAACCATATAATATACATAAATATATAACCTCCTGAAATCATATAATATAAATAAATATATAACCTCCTGAAACCATATATTATACATAAATATATAACCTCCTGAAATCATATAATATAAATAAATATATAACCTCCTGAAACCATATATTATACATAAATATATAACCTCCTGAAATCATATAATATAAATAAATATATAACCTCCTAAAATCATACAATATACATAAACATATAACCTCCTAAAATCATGTAATATACATACTTATATAACCTCCTAAAATCATACAATATACATAAACATATAACCTCCTGAAATCATATAATATAAATAAATATATAACCTCCTAAAATCATACAATATACATAAACATATAACCTCCTAAAATCATGTAATATACATACTTATATCACCTCCTAAAACCATATAATATACATAAATATATAACCTCCTGAAATCATATAATAAAACAAGAGGGCCATGATGGCCCTGAGATCGCTCACCTGTATATAGCCCCCCCCTACAACCCCCCCCCCCCCCAACGTTGCAGGGCCAATTTAACCCAAGGGCTTTTATTTGCACAAACTTGGTAGACACCCATAAGAAGATGTTTCATGCTAAACATCTAAGCTCTAGCTCATTGGGTTTTTTAAAAGAAGATTTTTTTAAAGTTTTTACTATACACATATAGTTTAAAACAATGAAACCCCGAGGGCCAGGCCAGTTTTTACCCCAGGGCTTTTATTTGAAACAAACTTTGTAGACACTTACTAGAAGATGTTTCATGCTTAATATCTAAACTCTAGCTATTTGGGTTTTTTTTCAAAGAAGATTTTAAGTTTTTGCTATATACACATATAAAAGAAAATCAATGACCCCCGGGGCAGGGGCCAATTTTGACCCCAGGGCTTTTAATTGAACAAACTTGGTAGACACCTATTAGAACATGTTTTGATGCTCAATATCTTAGCCATAGCTCTTTGAGTTCTTTAAAAAAAAGATTTTTTAAGTTTTTGCTATAACACATATAAGGAAAATCAATGACCCCTGGGGCGGTGCCAATTTTGACCCAAAGGCTTTTATTTGAACAAACTTGGTAGACACCCATTAGAACATGTTTGATGCTAAATATCTTAGCCATAGCTCTTTGAGTTCTTTAAAAGAAGATTTTTTAAGTTTTTACTATATGCATATAGGGAAAATCAATGACCCCCGGGGCTGGGCCAATTTTGACCCCAGGGCTTTTATTTGAACAAACTTGGTAGACACTTATTAGAACATGTTTCATGCTAAATATCTTAGCTCTAACTCTTTTGGTTCTTTAAAAGAAGATTTTTTTAAGTTTTTACTATATGCATATAGGGAAAATCAATGACCCCCTGGGGCGGGGCCAATTTTGACCCCAGGGCCTTTAATTGAACAAACTTGGTAGACACCTATTAGAACATGTTTGATGCTAAATATCTTAGCCATAGCTCTTTGAGTTCTTTAAAAGAAGATTTTTTAAGTTTTTACTATATGCATATAGGCAAAATCAATGACCCCCGGGGCGGGGCCAATTTTGACCCCAGGGCTTTTATTCGAACAAACTTGGTAGACACCCATTAGAACATGTTTCATGCTAAATATCTTAGCTCTAGCTCTTTGGGTTCTTTAAAAGAAGATTTTTTAAGTTTTTACTATATGCATATAGGGAAAATCAATGACCCCCGGGGCGGGGCGAATTTTGACCCCAGGGCTTTTATTTGAACAAACTTGGTAGGCACCCATTAGAACATGTTTCATGCTAAATATCTTAGCTCTAGCTCTTTGGGTTCTTTAAAAGAAGATTTTTTAAGTTTTTACTATATGCATATAGGGAAAATCAATGACCCCCCGGGGCGGGGCCAATTTTGACCCTAGGGCTTTTATTTGAACAAACTTGGTAGACACTCACTAGAAGATGTTTCATGCCAAATATCTAAGCTCCAGCTCTTATGGTTTTTTAAAAGAAGATATTTAAAGTTTTTTCTTTCGGTTGCCATGGCAACCAGAGTTCTGCATGGAATTAAATTCTTTGAACAATTTTTAAAGGTGACCACCAAAGGAACATTCCTGTGAAGTTTGGATGAAATTGGCTCAGTGGTTTATGAGGAGATGTCATTTAAAGTAAAAGTTTACGGACGGACGGACGGACGACGGACGGACGGACGCCGGACGAAAAGCGATCACAAAAGCTCACCCTGTCACTTTGTGACAGGTGAGCTAATAAATATATAACCTCCTAAAATCATACAATATACATAAATATATAACCTCCTGAAATCATATAATACATGTATAAGTAAATATAAAACCTCCTGCAGCCAATTGTATAAACGATGGTTAAAATTTACCACGGTAAGTTAATTACCGCGGTATATATTGTGGTTAGGTAACCGCGCGGTTATTCCATTTGTATAAACAAATTAACCACAAGGTTACCTAACCACGCAAAACTGAAAATTTAACCATGGTAATATTACCAATGATGCACCAGGATGTGACGTAATTTTCGCGGACAAACTTCAGACATCGTTTGTCTTGTTGAATAGTGCTCTTTTATATGTCCAATGCTTGACTTTGATATTATGAATTAAATTCTTTTGCTGCATTTACTGCTAGATAATGATGAGATGGAACAAAAATGATTAAATTCTAATTTATTTTATCATAAAATGTGAAAAGATATACAGCGGGAAATTAAAAAAACAAACAATTTAGCCATACTGTAGGCCTACATTTTTTAAATGTTGTCTATAAAATTAATAAAAAATATGCTGTAGATCTAGATCTACTGAACAAGTTACATAATTATTCAATACTTGTATGTAATAATTATATGTAAGTATGCTCTGCAGAGATCGTGTGCTTGTTGAACAATAATTATGGCGAAACCTGTCTTCCATACACAAAGCTGTGATGTAATCAATATTATTGATGTCATCGTGTACAGTACACTATGACGTAGAAACTTCATTCAAGTTTACAATGTAGTTTATACATTGACTAATAATATAAATATAAAAAAGAGATTGTGGATAATGTTTTGATATATTACATTTATTTGTGGCTTGTGTCATAAAGGAGTGAATCCGAGGGATATTATTAATCTATACATGTACTGTAGATAAAATAAACTTTTGCAGAGACAGGTAAGACCTTTCTAAATACATGTACATAGATCATAAATATGCAGTTGTTGAAAACTTGAAATGCACTGTGATCACAAGCTGCCCGAAAATTAATGCTGTGTTTAACAATAGCTGCTTTGTCTGGTTGTCCTTGCGATTGTATTTTTACATGTGTGTCATCTATGCAGATGAAAAACCGCGTATTGTGTAATTAAATCCACAATGATTAAAAATAGTCGTGGTATCAGCGCTTGGTTCCGTCGTGTATTTCTTTCCAAAAGAACGGTCAAAGAAGTCTAACAAGTTTTTTAAATGTTGTCTGCAGGAAATCTACATCTTTTCTGTAACTCCTCGTCTGTCAAATCAGTCAATTATCTGTCAATTCGTCCGAATTGTGGGGTTGTCTGTGCTTACACGTAAAATGTCCGCCATTTTTGTTTTGGTTACCGTGCAGTTACCAAGCTTCACTACCTGGGTTAAATTTAACCGTGGTTAAAGCGCGGTTACTGCTTTTGATGTTTTTTATACAATCGCTTACCGCGAGGTTACCGGGCTGGTTACCGTAACTGTGTGGTAACCGCGCGGTTAAATTGTTTATACAATTGGCTGCAGAAATCATATAATATACATAAACATATAACCTCCTAAAATCATGTAATATACATACTTATATAACCACTTAAAACCATATTATATACATAAATATATAACCTCCTGAAAACATATAATACATGTATAATATAAAACCTTCTGAAATCATATAATATACATTAATATATAACCTCCTAAAATAATATAATATACATAAACATATAACCTCCTGAAATCATAAAATATAAATAAATATATAACCTCCTAAAATAATATAATATACATAAACATATAACCTCCTCAAATCATATAATATATATAAATATATAACCTGACATCATATAATACATATAAAAATATAACCTCCTGAAATCATGTACATAAATATACATGTAAAACCTAATGAAATCACATAACATGTACAAAGATACAACCTCCTGATATATTATAGTATACATTATTATATTACCTCAAGAAATCAAATAAAATCCATAAATATATAACTTTATTATATTACCTCAAGAAATCAAATAAAATCCATAAATATATAACTTCCTGCAATCACTAGAGTCTTTGCGAGCAGTATATTAATGGCACCTTAATTAAAGTATTTACGATATTATTAAAGTCCTCCCATTAACAAATGACTTTGCAAATATTAAAGCATAAGAAGTCCATTTAACAAATATAGCATGATAACAGTAAATTACTCTAACCTTTATATAGTTAGCCACAATAGAGACGTTCTTAAAGTCAAGGGCGGCATCTATCTCGTCCATCACATATAGAGGTGTAGGTTTAAAATGATGTAGAGCAAATACTAGAGCCAGGGAACTGAGGGTTTTCTCACCGCCAGACAAGTTTGATATATTTTTCCATGACTTCTTTGGCGGACGCACACTGTAATGAAGTAGCATAAATGTTAAAGATCCTGTATGTTGTAATTTAAGGATGTGACAACAGTAAAGTGAAATTTTATATATGTATATAGTTATTCTTCTAAAACAATTTCCAATTATCCAAGAATAAGTTAAATATGAGCAGCAAATGCTTATATACATGTTATTAAACATTATAATAAATGCATTCATTTTTTTATTGAAATAACTGGCCTAGACTTTATCGAAAATAAATTTTTAAATACCTCCCTTTATTTACATGAAATGTTAAATTTGGTAAAATATCTTTACTAATAATACTTCTTTAAACTTACAACATTGATAAATCTTCATTTGAGCATCAGATTTATGATATAAAACCATAAAAAAAAATCTTTAACTGACCTTTTCACATAACATAAAAGAGAAATAAGAAAATTCTAAATCATAAATTGCAGCAGGTTATTGTCAATTTACAAGGAAATCAGCACTGGTTCCTGAGTTTATTTTGCCATCTTAATAAACTTAGGGCTAGTTCTTTTTTTTCAAACAGTTTATTGTCATACGCTTGCAGACAGTTCTCTTAATCAGTGTTTACAGTAAATGCGATACCTTTCACAAGAACCACCCAGTACCAAATAGTGATATAGATATCATTTATAACGTAATCAATTAAGTAAATTATTTGTTACACAAACCTGAATACAATTCCTTCAGAGAACGGATCGAGTGAGTCGACAAGTTCAAGTTCGGCATCTCCTCCTAGAGTGATCATCTGGTACATTTCCTTCAGTTTATACGTTATCACGCTGAAACCCGACATAAACTCATCAAGCCTTTGTTTACGTAGATCCTCATGGTATTTACGCTGCTTGTCACGAAACTCTGTGATCTGATCGAGCTCGGCCACTCGTTGAAGGTATAATTCTTCCTAATAACATATCACAAAAGATAGTATCCCTATGTTATAATACTGACTCAAACCAACAAAAATGCAGTAGAGTTGTCGCATGTAAAAAGGAAGAAAAAAAATGGCAAACCTATCAATAAACTATTTTCAAATATTCATCATAGTAATGGCAGTGAAAACAATTTAACTTATCTTTTTGCTAGTCAAGTAGGAGTGATTTTATGGTAAAGGTTATCTATCATATTATCAACAAAAAATTTAATACAATTCAGATGTAGATCCTGTTACGAACACATTCTGTGCATATTATCAGACCCGTTCTGTTGGGTGCATAAAATAAAATTCAAAATTGAATGTACTTGTTACCAAATTTGTCATAGCAGATTTGAGGTAGTAACAACAGACCTGTGTCACCATTATATAGTATAACCAATACTAAATTTTATTTGATAATGTGATACTTAAATCCCTAAAATGTAAAATGGACAGATCTGAATTCAAAGCAAGAAAAGTCCATTTATACTGATTCAGGGAGGTGAGGATAAATCTAGTATATGACTCGGCTGCTCTTCTTACCTTCTTTCTATATTCAGCAATGGCAGCCATGTTGGGCTTCATATGCTGGAGTTTTTCTTCCTGCGTAGTGATTTGGAACTTTAACTCGTCTACTTTAATGCCATCTAAATCCTCCTCTGATAATGTCTGTAACTCTTCAACCTCCTGCCTGTCTATAGGTGTCAATGTCAAATGTGACAGCTAAAATATAATTGATAGAATACTACATGTAGTTATTGTTTTTGAAGTTGGATTTTAAAGGTCATATATACATGTAAACTGATTTAGGTAAATGGAAACAATATTTGTTTTTAAAGATATATATTAAAGACCTATAGACAGCCTCTCCAGAATTTTAGTTTTTAATGAAATAAAATAGAAACATATTGTATTTTTATGCTCAAAACATCCCCTTTTTAAACATCAAATGTTTACACTTTAATTCTTCACCCTTGTGTTTTGACATAAAAGAGTATATCTATTTTGTTGTGTGTAACTTTGAAAGTGATGCGTATTTTATATTTTCTATGCGTATTTCAGGCTTATATGCATGCTATCTGCAGCTCTGTAAATTACAATCAATAAGGCTCTTTTCTTTATGTAAACACAGTTTTGACAGAAACTGCAAATAACATCACATTTACAAACTTACCTCTTTCTTCCAATGTTTAAGTTTAGCCTGGTTTTCTTTCATTAGATTCTGACACCTGTCCAAATCTGCTTTCACATCTACAACTTCTTTCTGTATCTTGTTCTCTTCCTCTTCTAACTCTGCAAGTTCTTTGTTAACCTCATCAAGGGCTTTTACTGCTTCACGCATTGTGTCCTGAGAGTAAACAAGCACAGTTTTTTTGTTCATTTTCCAAACAACTGTTAATATTGGGATGGAAAAAAGTAAACTTTATTATGGTATGACAATTAGCTAGCAGGATAAGATTGGTCTGTATGTCATGCTTAAAACAAAATTCATTAACTTTCATTAAGAACTTAGACATGTTCATTTTTACCTGTGATTCCTGGTAAGCCTCCATAACTTTGGTTGCCTCAACCTCCAGTTCTCCAAGTTTAGCCTCCAGGTTTTTCACATCCTCTTTATTCTCTTCTATCTCATCATACAGACTGGCCAACTTGTCCTCAGCTTTCTTCAAGTTCCTGATATAGGAAAATATTTGTTTTAACTGTGAAACCTTGGCACCACAGATAATTTGCTTGTATCATGTGAACAGAGCCAGGTTTACAAGCAGATTTGTGTAATTTGATTAGACTCAGAATCATATTATTGGTCGCATGATCTTATCATTTTGCAATTAAAATCACTAAAATTTATAAATGACAACTTTTCAGTTTAATCAAACAATTTCAACAGCAGCAAAGGCTAAAAGCTAACAGAATACAAAACATATGTCATTAAATTAACAATAATTCTCTTATAGTGTAGCAAGAAGCTACAGACACCATTAAAAGCATTAAAAAAGAATCCTTGAATATCATCATAACTATATAATATAAAAGTAATCTCCTAATGAACACCATGTTATTTAATAAGAGGTATACTGCTCTGAATCTGTTCATATAATTTCTTTTTCTGCTGTATCGGCAACAACAAATTTGCTTAAATGAAAATTGATTTTATATTTACTATGAATGGTAGGAAAAAATCTGTAGATTACCTTTCCGAGGTTTTGACACCGACACTGGCCTTGGTGATCTGACCCACAACTTGGTCTATCTGAGACTGTATAGCATTGACACGTGACTGAGCAGCATTCATCTTGGATCCTCCTATATCCATGATTTGGTTGTGTAGTCTGAAAAATGACAGGTTTAGATTGGTTTAAATATTATTTTCTTAAAGTATAAATATCATCAACTTCGAATTTAGAGGAAGGTCTACTACCTTTTTCTATTTATGACAAGAATAACAAAGTTTTTAAAATTGCAAAAAAAAAAGCACCTCCATTTCTTACTGGGTAAATGCAGACAATTTGCACCATGTAAGTTCAATATAGCAATTATTAGCCCTACACTTCTAAAGACAGGGGTTTCATTGGGTCTGAACAAAGCATATTTATTTCTTAACATGGATGGGTAGATGAAAATCTGGTAAAGTAGGTAGGTGAGCCAAGTTGCAATGGAAGTTTTCCCCACAACACTGGGTGAAAATGCTGTTTAAAAAATGTTGAAGGAGGACATTCCAGATGTCATAACAAATGGATATACAAAGACGCAAAATCTAAGAATACAGGTTTTCCCCATTTAAGGAAAATAAATGAACCAACTATTTATTGACAATTTTCACAAATGCTTATAATTACTGAATATTAAATTTCAAAATAACTTACTCCTGAACTTCTGCTTCAAGCTTGTTAGCAACATCGGCTACTTTTTGGTAATCTGTCATAGTTAAAAATATCATTTCTTTAACTTACTTGTTTGTTTAATTGGGTTTTTATGTCACACCGGCATGTTATAGGTCATATGGCGACGTTCCAGCTTTACTGGTCAAGGAAGTCCTCAGGTGCCTTTCCGTGCATTATTTCAGGCATGAACAGGCAACTGAGTAGAACCACTGACGTTTCTTTTACTTCTACTCAATGATGCTTTGACTTAGTGTGATATAAATGTTATAACTAATTATATATTTGATCCTCGTAAAAATAAACATCTCAACCAGAATCAGCATCAGCATATAATCAGCAAATGTATATACATATTTATTTTATACTTTTAAATGAAATATTAAGAAATATTGATGAAATAAAATGCGTATATTCATTTTCCGTATTTTCACTGTAAAAATTTATTTTTCACTGCAGTGAAACATATTTTCCGTATTTTCACTGGTGTCTTGCCGGACTACTTTCTTTTAAATTCTGCCAGTACTCAAAATTTAAGGGAAAGTCTTTCAAATTTTTATGTCCAGAAAGAGAAAAATGTATATAATAAACAGAAAATTCAAGTTTTTTCTATAAATACACGATTTATTTTCATCTTGTGGCATGAAAATTATCATATTTCACTCGTGGCTACCGCCACTCATGAAATATTTATTTTCATACCACTCTATGAAAATAAATCATGTATTTATAGAAAAAACTTGATTATCCTCTATGTATGTATTTCAGTCTTCATGGACTGAAGATTTCATTCTTATAAGATTTCACCTAATATTTATACCTTTTGACAAACTTTCAATAATCAACTTAATAACATTGAATATTTTCTTACAATATATAATTATCAACGGGCACACAAATTATTTTCAGGTAACTTAGCAAAATAATGTCTATGGTATAACATAAGAATTCAACATTAACCCCTAACCTGCCACATTTCTGAAATGGACTTGTTAAGCTTCCATTTTTTGGAATTGTCCATTACCAATTTTGGGGATATCCATATAAAAATTTGAAATTGGTCAACCAATAGTAAAGACCCGAGTCAGACTGGTTCCATAACGGTGGCACAGACTAACCATTTAATAACAATTTACCTCCTGGCAGTCTGATCAAGCTCAATTCTGTTGGTTACTTGAATATTTTCATTTTTTTTTAATATTGCACCCCTTCTTCTAATGGACACATCCAAATTTAACGATACAACTTCATTTTAACAAATTCAGCAAAGCAAGTGTTTACTTTCTTCTCAACACATGAAATAGGTGTTTTTTAAACACCAGTGAGAGTCTGACCTTTACGATATTCCTCGACCATTTTTTCAAGTTGTTTTAACTGTTTCTCATCTGGTGCTGCAGCTTTCACTTTCTCCTTCTGTTCAACTATCTGTGACTCTAATGCCTGTGCCTGTTCTGTCAACGCCTGTAATTACAGTGGTGGGTCAATTATTTGAAAGTATAATCAATTAACAATTAGTATTTAGTCAATAAATCTTACAGAAATCAGCACAATGAAACTCTGTATTTGTTTGTTTGATTGAGTTTTACGTCACATTGACACAGTATAGGTCATACAATGATGTTTTAGCTTTACTTGTAGAGGAAGACCTCTGGTGCACCTCCCTGCATTATTTAAGGCACAAACGGGTACCTGTGTAAAACCACTGATGTTCTGTAAGCTAGCTGGATAGCTTCCTCACACAACTAATAACCAAAGCAACATTCAGCAGCTGTTATAACTTGGGAAAATGTAGCTCCTAGATAAGAACATGGTACCACATCACTAATCCAAACTCCTTAAACTCAAGGCAAAATAACTGATGGCTGTACAATGAAAAGCGATGAAAAAAAAATATGTTTAATATCAACTGATCCTTAAACTCAGAGTAGATAGCTCATCAGGTTGTTGTGCAGAGGAAAGTAAGAGGAGCTGTCATTAGGACAGAATGCTCGACTATTCTCAGTGCTTGAAGAGCCTCAATTATATAGAATGTTTTAACTTCATAATTCTGTCAAAAACTCATGTTAAAATTATAGGCTTTTAAGTGACTTCCTATCATGCTCTGAAATATGTTTGCGAACTCTCATCCCATTCTCCCTGTAGTTTTAGAGATACCAACTTGCACACAAAAAAAAACTTAACCAAGGGGCGTAACCAAAGCCTGGGTGAGTAAAACAGCTATCCCTATTCTTCAATAGTTGATCTAAAAATGCACAAAGAAAAAAAGTTCATACTTTGATCTCAATCCCCAGCTTCTGTAGTGAATGTTTAACATGTGTAATATCCTTCTTTTGTTGTTTAACAAAGTCTTCAAGTCTTTCTTTATTAGCTCTACACTGCTGGCCCTCCTCTGCCAACTACAAACATAAAATCATACATCTATATATCTCTGTTGGTGTTCTGATCAATAACTTGAAGCAATGAGCAAGACAAAAAAGTGTTTCTTCCTTTATTTTGTCTCTAGTCCTGTGAACTAACAAATACAAAAGATGCATTTATAACCCAAATTTGGTCATATTACTAACTTTAGAAAGTACCTTATTCCAAATATCCCAATCCATACAAATGTCAATGGTGGTTATTGCTGTTGTAAACTGTGTGAGTTATTTTCATAAAAATATGTAACTTAAAACTAATGCACAAAAGAATTTTGTCTTGGTGTTAACTAAGACAAGTGTCTAATTTGAGATATATCACATCTTTGAAAATATTTTTCTAAAAATGTCACGAATAAAAAAAAACAATGGAAGGAATGATATACCTTGTTAAATTTCATAATTAAACAGTTTTAATAATCACCAATGTTTTAATTACAAACATTTGTATAACCAAAATCTATATGTAATTCTTCCTATCTCAAGTTTATATCACCAAAACTCATATCATCATCACCACTTTGAGCTCAGGTGAGCTAAAAATGCAAGTTTTCATAACCAAATCTTTTCTAGCGTTATTATATATTTTATCAACTCTGCTCTGTTTACCTTTTTCATTTTAGTTTCATTGTTAGCAAGATCTTTGGTATCAACATCAGAGACGACACTTGATCCCATCCTTCCCTTACATACACTTTTACCTCCACCGGACATTGTTCCTGAAATAATTGTTGTTGTTTGATTGGGTTTTACGTCACACCGACACAGTATAGGTCATTTGGCGACGTTCCAGCTTTACTGGTGGAGGAAGACCTCAGGTGCCCTTCTGTGCATTATTTCAGGCACGAACGGGCACCTGAGTAGAACCACCGGCGTTCCGTAGGCTAGCTGGATAGCTTCCTCACATGAAAGAATCCAAAGTCCCTGTTGGGGTTCGAACCCACAGCGGTGAGGGGCAAGTGGTTTGAGGCCACAGACGCCCCCTGAAATCATTGTTCACAGGTCAACGTCAAAATCAACTAATTATGATGAAAAACAAACTTTGTATTGCAACATGCAAAAGATTCAGACAAGAAATTTTGGCTAATTTTAGAGTGCCTATGTTTACATGGGTGCCAGTTAAAAATATCAGAAAACTTGAAAACCATGAATTAAGCATTATTCTAATTGGTTTTATTTTATATAGAAAAAGAGTGCTTTCAGGGATATAAAAAACCTGAACTTCATGCAAATGCCTGAAAACTTGTACCCATGTCTTTAAACTGCCTGAATAAAATTTGACTTTCAATCTCAAAGAATAATTTTTCTTAATAAATAAAACAAAATGTCTAAATTTTGTAAGCATTAAGTAACCACTTTTTTTCCGTCTAGAATTAGAAATATTATTTCCCAGTGTTATCATTTCAGAAGCAGTTTTAAATATGAGCACCTATGTATTTGGAAAAAGTGAAAGCTCAATGGGAAAAGAAACTGTAACTTCAGGTATATGTTCTGTAGAGGTCTAATGGCAAATTCTAAGCCTATTAGTGGAGGAAGACACAGAGTAGCTGACCTTTCAATTAATCATATGGTAAGCAAGCACTTGTATACAGCCTTTCACTGGGTGAATAGCTTTCTCATATGGGCATTATTTCATTTTGTTTGTTCGCTTTTTTGCACTGATTTAATAAATAAAGACATAAGTAAAATGGGGCAGGAGAACAACTCCCTCAAACATGAGTTATGTTACTTATTTACTATTTACACTATTTACAATACCTTCAAGAGGTTCCTAACAAAATATAAGATGAATGATAATAAAAATATCAATGACAAACCTGATGTATCTATGAGCTGTCCTTGTAGGGTAACTACCCGGAATCTGTTAGCACCATATGCTATCCTTGTAGCCTGATCTAGATTATCAGCAACTAACGTGTCACGAAGAGCAAAATAAAATGCTGGCTTGATTGCCGGATTCTTCACTTGCACGAGGTCAAATAAACGGTGGACTTTTTCTGGTCTGAAATTTATCAGTGATGTTTTTATCATTTGATGTCACTAGATCAGAATATCAGCTGTCACAAAAACTTTCTTCCAAGTTGTTTCATACAGTTTTGGTACATTTGAAATATAATAATATTTCATTTAAAATTAAACAAATATTAGTAAAATATAAAGACGACCCTATGCTTTTTTAAGAATAAATCTATCAAGACATGTGTCATGCCCGTAATCCTATAATAGGTATATTCTTGTACATTAATTGGTATTCACTGTTATCTACGATTCTCCAAACTAAGCAAGTAGCCATTTGTAAAAAACATACACCATAACACAATATTTCTCTTTGCAATAACACTGCCGTAAGTTAATAATAACCTAACTTTTCACTTACGTATTTATTTTTCTAGAGGCATGGTCCTTCCATCGAGCCATTTTGTCAAGACCAATAAAAGTAGCACTTCCAACATTGTTCTTCTTCAAGAACTCTACACATTTCTGGGCTGTTTCCATAGTGTCTACAACTATGTTGTCAAGGGCACCACAGGCTGTTGATATGGCAACATCAAACTTCTCATCTATGCCGCCAAGATCTCCCTACACATAAAGAGGTTATTCTTTTTTTTACGATATTTACACTTTTGATTTTGTATAAAGTAAAATAGTCCAGTTTTTACTCAAGTATGGACATTACATACATGTGTATTGCCATTTTTGGAAAAATAACATTAATTTATTAAACTAAGCAGATTGTTTAGGTCAGACTGGATGCATAGGAGGTCTGACTGTAACATGGGCATAGACATGTCATTATCAGTGCTTGAACTGAAGATATAAAATATCTCCCAAATAAATTCAGAGTGTAATAAATAAACTTTTAAGAGATTGTAACTACTGTATGTCCACTGATACTGCAAAATTTAAGTCTCATATGGAAAAAGAACAATTGTATTCATTTACAAATTTGTTGACAGTTTTGCTAGTGTGTGAAACATTACATGGATGGGCACCTCTGTGAGGTGTCTTCTTTCAATATAACTTCCATATAACTTCCAAACTGTAATAATCCTTATGCTACCAGTATATCTTTGCAGACTGACCCGGCTCTATTTTGTTGGCTGGTTTAATTTAAATTTTCATCTTAGTCGCTCTAAAATTGTAGAGCTGTCATTGATTCAAAGCAAAGCATATTGACGATATACTGTTTTAAATAATTTAAGAAAAAATAAATGTTCTGTTCATGCAAATATGTTGTGGCCCGTTTCTAAATGACCTTTGCATGATTTTTTTTCTGACCATATTTTGTCATCACTGCCATGAAACGTGCCCATTACATAACACCAGACTAGTGTTAGACATGGCCATCTGCTTTGTTTTATTGGTTTTTTTGTTGTTTATTTATGCTTTTTCATATACTCTATAGTCATTTAAATAATGTATCAAAATAAATGACTTTAAAATGTGTATTGATTATATCAAGAATACATCAATATTGTCCCAATCAATGACAGCACTACAACATTGATAATGGACAGTTCTGAAAATCAAGTTGGACAAATCTAAGAAATTGAAAAGGTTATAAAGGGATAAAATCGAGGACAGTTAAAGTATTTTTTTTAGCAAGGATGAAACATAAGATGTATGTTTTTTTTATTTTCAGCATATTAGGAATGTCTATTTGTAATGGAATCTTCATAAAGGAAACAAACAAGGAAACTAAACAAAAAGCATACAAGTCGGCCATGTACTCCTGGCAAAGTTCCAGCATTTTTCAGGTTCATCACAAAATCGATTACTTTTCCGCGGCTTTTATTTGCCTCTAAAGCACTACGAGCTTCTTCCACTTTTCTCCTTACTCCACGAATCTAAAACAATAAATCACAGAATAATTTCATCTGAAGTGAAACATTTGGATAAAACAATTATGTACTGAAAATGTTCCTTATAAAGAATTTTGAACTTGTATTTCTTGATATTAATACATTTACTAACATATTAGTTATAACTGTAACCTTAATTTCTATACCAAATGATATGGAGAAAATTGTTCTCTTCTATTTCACAAAAGGCCTTGCCTTGTACAATGGATAATTTTAAAGAAAAAAAAGCTTGAAAGTCACAAGGCTTTGAACAGAATTTGTACTTTTCTCCAGTAAAAATAAAAGTTTCAAGGTTGATTGTCATTAGTGTCATCTATCTCATATTCAGAAGGATATATATGTATCTAAAATGATAATGCTAGTTGGGAAAAGTCCAAAATGTTTTGGAATTTTCAAGATAAAATTAGTAATTTTCAAGATAAAATTGAAAATTTTCAAGATAAAATTGGGAATTTTCAACAAATTTCATCTCTTGTGAACAAAAACATATCAATGAGTACTGAATTAATAATAAGTTAAAGTACCCACCTCCTCAACTAATTCAGCTTCACGTTTACACGTGTTTTGTAGGTCTGTATTGGATTTCTCCAAAGAATTCTCTAAGTCTGGAAGCTTACTCTCCATCTCTGCAGCTGATCTATTAAAAAAAAAAAAATAAAAAATAAAATAAAATTAAAAATAAAATAAAAATTAAATATTTGCTTCACACAAATATAATTTATGTTGCAAAACAAATTTCCTATTACATGTTTTAGTCTTGAGGATTTCTCTTTGAATAAGCTGCTTGCTCTTATTATTGTTACAATCATAAACAGCGTAATGTAAGTGACCAAAACAAATCTATATATATATGAATATATTTGATCGTCAATGACTTCAACTTAAATCATAAAAGACTATTTCATATAACTTTTTTGTGCTGAAATACAAATCACACTGACATTGCAAGCATGGTGTGTTGACTTTCCAGTTTCACTATTAAGAAAACCCCCGATGCCCTTCTATGCTTTATTTCAGCCACAGTACCCAGAGGCTAATCACTGACCTTCCATAGTCCAGCCAGATAGCTTCCAAACATGTAAGAATACAACTTCTTGGACAGGATTCATACCAACAACAGACCAGTGATTAGAAGTGAGCAACGTGAGCAACCTTAACAACCTGATCACCAAGGTCCAAAAATATAGTTCTATTTTACAATAATAAGAAATGTCATCAAGTATTACTTTGTCTTTTCTTCAACAGTTTCTTTCAGTTTCTCGAGTTTACGGGTCATATCATTCAGCTTGTTTGTCTCCTGTTTCTGGTTGCTAAGATACAAGTCCAACTCAGACTGAGATACCTCCAACTGTAAATTATTGAAAACACAGATTGTTATTCTATTTTTTTTAAGCCACATAAACAATATAAAAGCAGGGAGGACACCGGTCTTAGCTGGATGATGGGATTTTTTTGTTCACAATATAAAAGAGGAAAACAAACTAAATATTCTCTTTCAATAGTGTACAGGTATGATCTGAAAATTTTCCCAATTCTTTTGTATCATAGAAAGTTCAATTTTATATCAATATAAAGGACAAGTGTTTAAAAAAAAAAACACACACACAAAAAAATATATCTATAACACAATAGGATTCATACTTTAGATTTACTTTCATTGACAGATTTCTGAAGTCCTAACAACTTCTCCTCTTTCTTGTCTTTCTCCACTTGTAGACCCTGAAACACCACAAGTTATAACATGTAGCTATGTAAATCTTAACTGACTATTCTTATGAAAATTTATAAATTGTTCTCATTAGTATATAAAACAAGAGTGTCCTCAGGACAGCATGCTCAACTATTGTCAACTGTTGATAGTAAAATCAGAGCCTGGATAATGTTAGAATTTACAAGAAGGAAGATTTCATTCACAAAATTACAATTTATGTACATGACATAGTTATGGGTCTGGGATATTGACCAAAGAATTTTAAGTTTTTTAATGGGCCTTATTTAACTCAAAATCTGTGCTAGAGTTAGGGCCTTATTTTATTAACAAGAGGGCCATGATGGCCCTGAAGTCGCTCACCTGTATATATAGGCCCCCAGAGCGGGGCCAGTTTAAACCCAAGGGCTTTTATTTGAACAAACTTGGTAGACACCCATTAGAAGATGTTTCATGCTAAATATCTAAGGTCTAGCTCGTTGAGTTTTTTAAAAAATGATTTTTAATTTTATACTTTACACCTATATTTAAAAGCAATGACACCCCTGGGGCGGAGCCAGTTTTGACCCCAGGGCTTTTATTTGAACAAACATTGTAGACACTCACTAGAAGATGTTTCATACTCTAACTATTTGGGTTTTTTCAAAGAAGAATTTTTAAGTTTTTGCTTTACACATATAAGGAGAATCAATGACACTTGTGGCGGGGCCAATCTTAACCCCAGGGCTTTTATCTGAACAATCTTTGTAGACACTCAATAGAAAATTTTTCATGCTTAATATCTAAACTCTAGCTATTTGGGTTTTTTTCAAAAAAGAATTTTTAAGTTTTTGCTATACACATATAAGGAAAATCAATGACCCCTTGGGCGGGGCCAATTTTGACCCCAGGGCTTTTATCTGAACAAACTTTGTAGACACTCACTAGAAGATGTTTCATGCTAAATATCTAAACTCTAGCTATTTGGGTTTTTTCAAAGAAGAATTTTTAAGTTTTTGCTATACACATATAAGGAGAATCAATGACCCCTTGGGTGGGGCCAATTTTGACCCCAGGGCTTTTATCTGAACAAACTTTGTAGACACTCACTAGAAGATGTTTCATGCTAAATATCTAAACTCTAGCTATTTGGGTTTTTTCAAAGAAGAATTTTTAAGTTTTTGCTATACACATATAAGGAGAATCAACGACACTTGTGACGGGGCCAATTTTGACCCCAGGGCTTTTATCTGAACAAACTTTGTAGACACTCACTAGAAAATGTTTCATGCTAAATATCTAAACTCTAGCTATTTGGGTTTTTCAAAGAAGAATTTTTAAGTTTTTGCTATACACATATAAGGAGAATCAATGACACTTGTGACGGGGCCAATTTTGACCCCAGGGCTCTTATTTGAACAAATCTGGTAGACACACATTAGAACATGTTATATGCTAAATATCGTAGCTCTAGCTTTTTGGGTTCTTTACAACAAGATTTTTTAAGTTTTTACTATATGCATATAGGGAAAATCAATGACCCCTGGGGCGGGCCCAATTTTGACCCTACGGTTTTTATTTGAACAGGCTTGGTAAACACCCATTAGAAAATGTTTCATGCTAAGTATCTTAGCTCTAGCTCTTTGGGTTCATTAAAAGAAGATTTTTTTAAGCTTTTACTATATGCATATAGGGAAAATCAATGACCCCCTGGGGCGGGGCCAATTTTGACCCCAGGGCTTTTATTTGAACAAATTTGATAGACACTCACTAGAAGATGTTTCATGCCAAATAGCTAAGCTCTACCTCTTTGGGTTTTTTAAAAGAAGATATTTTAAGTTTTTTCTAACGGTTGCCATGGCAACCAGAGTTCTGCATGGAATTAAATTCTTTGAACAATTTTTAAAGGTGACCACAAAAGGAACATTCCTCTGAAGTTTGAATGAAATTGGCTTAGTGGTTTATGAGGAGATGTCATTTAAAGTAAAAGTTTACGGACGGACAGACTGACGGACGCCGGACGGACGGACGCCAGACGAAAAGCGATCACATAAGCTCACCCTGTCACTTTGTGACAGGTGAGCTAAAAATCTATGCTAGAGTTATGGGTCTTCCAAAGTGACAGTGAATTGTAATTCAAAACTCATGAATTAACTCTTTGACTTAATTGAGTTGCAGTATTCAAGCTGTCCATAACCTCTGTTAGTTTGACTTAACCTGTGTTTCAGTCTTTAAGCTATTCATTACCTCTTTTAGTTACACTTACTTGTGTTTCCGTCTTCAAGCTGTCCATAACTTCCTTCAGTTTGACTTCTTCTTTCTGCTTCTCCTTTTCTAACTTCTCTTGTTTCTTGTTTAAATCATCTATAGTCTTCTGAGCTTGTTCTGGTACCTCTTTCAACTCCTCTATCTGAAATACAAGTTAAAAATTGCAAAATGAAGTAGCTTCAAATATACTTCTATTGCACAGAAGGTTTCTTTTATTACAAAGTTCAAAAAGTTTACTAAGGACATTTCATATGAAACATTTCATTTATATTATAATTAAGCATATTGGAACTTATACCCAACCCTATAATACAAACTTTTACTTTTTTATTACAGACAACTATCGCTAGGTGTGAAAAACACAAAGCAGGCAGCTATCGCTCAAAAGCGTGTGACATAAGGAATGATTATGTTTGTAAAAAGTCAAGCCGTCTTTATAAGTTGACTAACATAGCGTTGATCGACTAATGTCGAAAACGACTCTTCTGTTATATATATAAAATATTCAAGCACTGTATTTAATTAATTATGATTTTACATTACCGCTGCATAATTGTTTCTCGTCATTTCGGGAAAATGTCGGAGGCAGATGATAATTTCAAATTGTTTGAAAATCAAACACTGGTCCAACGATGTGGAGAAGGTCCCGATTTATAACTAACCTGGAAGGATATCTGGATTGACCACAGTTGAAAAACGTTTCTGCTTTAGCGAGTTAATGTCACTATGTCGCATCACAGAATGACTTCTTACCTTAGATAATGTTGAGTACCTGAGGTCTTTCTTGTCCAATTAAGTTATAGACTTGCCACATTACTTCAAACCCAACTAAACATGATATATCAATAATAAGTATGACATTTTCTTTAAATCCCGTAAACCTCTTTATATAGCCGTATACTTCCACCAAATGACAATTTTTATCTATATTTCAATCATTACCTTTTTCATTTCCTGTTCAGTACTTTTCTCCAATTTCTTTCCTTTGGCTTTTGCATGTTTCAGATCCTCTCGCAGCTTAACATCTGCTTTTTCAAAGTCTGAGAATTTTTCTTTATTTTCCTCACATTGTTTCTTCAAGTCATCATTTACCCTGGAATCAAATTTAGAATAACTTTAAAGGGACTTCACTGTGGGTTTTTAACATGATTGGACATAAAATACTATTTCAAGAGAAATATTCCAGTTGATGTAGGTCAAGACCAATGCAAAATTATAGATCATCTGCTCACTCTATTTTTCCTGACTATTTATTCTAATGGTGAAAAGTGAAATTATTTCTGAGGATATAACTTTGTTATCTTTTGCATATTTATCTAATTAAAGTACCCCAGTTGATCTATGCAGGAAATTTAAATGTTATGCTTTTTGTCTTTTGGACCTCAGTGGAGTTCCTTTAAACATACCCCTGTTTTATAGCTAATTTTGTGTAAAATAACTGATCACATCAGAGCAAACCTACCTGGTTTTATTACCTAAGGAGTAAGATTTGCTAGTAGGTATTTACACCTTAGATATACAACACAAAGGGTTTCAGAGAAATATCATCTCAATTATAAATCCAATTAAAAGTATTCCACAGATAAAAACAAAATTTACTTGTAGATTTTTTTCTGTTTCTTCGCTTTCTCTTGTCTTGCATCAGATATTTCCTTCATTTTTGTGTTAAACTCTTCCATACCTGAATTGATCTTGTCAAACTCTGCCTTAAATTTCTCCCCACCTTTTATACATTCCGATCTGAAACATAAATAAATTTTATGTGCAATACATGTATAAAATTCAAGTTCAACATTAGTTGTTATTTTGTTGGTTATTTTTTCCTTTAAAAGATTAATTCTGTGTATTCCAATTTCAACAAACTTATCACCATAATGCACGGCTTGAATGTACCAATCCCACAACCACAGAGCAGTGCTGTGGTTAGAAGGAAGAACAAGCTAATCTGTCCATCACAGCTGTGTCTGGTCACAGTGGTCAGTGCGGAGCTTTTAATTTGGTGCTAAACAGCGTGGAATATTTCTAACTTATAGTGCCTGAATATTTAGCATAGTTAAATTTTGACAGGGCTATTGGTAATTTGCTTTCTCCAAGATGAATTGCCAATTATTCCCCATGTGTGTGCGGAAAAGGAGGCAAGAAGTGAATGGTGCATTATTTAAAATACTGCTTTCAAGATGAAAACAAAGTTAACAAAGAAGAAGAAATATTTTCATCAAAATGATAAAATTAGCATTCCTCTTTAAAACTGACTGCACACATTTTAAGCCAACTAGGCATGTACATGCTATAAATAGTCATAGCTCATTATTTGATTTATTTTTCTTTAATTTATATGATAAGATTATCAACATTTACATACATGTGTTTCTGGTAGATTGTGTTTTGCATTTTAGCAATGTTATTTTCTATTGTCAGGAACTCCACTGCCTCATTCTTAGCCTCTTCCAGCTCATCTTTGTCTTTTTCTACAGCTTTTACTCTGTTCATCTGAGATAGTAAAACAAACAATATAGGTAGTGCATAAAGAAATGTTTTATGGAAGAGAAACAAGCAATACAGGTACTATATAAAGAAATGTCATGATATTAAAACAAATAATACAGGTAGTGCATATAGAAATTTCTTATGGAAAAGAAACAAGCAATACAGGTAGTGCATTGAGAAATGTCGTATGATACTCAAACAAATAATACAGGTAGTGCAAAGAGTAATGTCATATTACATATAATGGTAGAACCAATACAACAGAAATTTCTTATTCTATAAAACATCATTAAGTCAACCAAAATCAATATTTCAAAAGGAATGTTTTGATCTTCAAACTGTTATAGTTCCAAAATAAAATTTATATTTAGTACAAAAATATAATAAAAATCCCCAGATCCTGTCCCTGCCAGAGTGCCTCTTACCTTTTCGCCTCTCAGCTCATTAAGTGTTTCCACACGTTTGGCGAGTATTTCTATTGGTTCCTTGAATCTGTTACTACCAATAATGTCTTCTAGAAACTCCAGCATACCATCATCATGTTCTGACTGACCTTTTGGCTTCATCATAGCAATTTGTTCAACTTCACCCTATAACCATTTAAATATTTCCAGCATAAATTATAGCCATATCAACAACATAATCATACTCTTTAATAAAACCAATAACATAACTCCACCTTTTATTGTGTAAATAACCATTAGCTACAGTTTATAAATAACACCAGCCCCTAACCATACCAATAACATAACTCCACCTTATTTTTGTATTAACAACTTAACTCCACATTTCTAAGAATATCAACAACATAACACAACCCTATAACCATATCAATAACTTAACTCCACCCCATTGCTTTATAAACAATAACTTTACTCCACCCTATAACCACATCAACAACATAACACTATAACCATATCAACCCCATGATGCCACCCAAACACCATATAAATAGTTTACCTCCATCTTATAACAATAATAACTAGAACTATCACTAAATGTGATTTATACCCCCACAAGACTGCTTCAGAAATGAGGATGTTACTAGTAACAGAATACCTTGAAAAAGAATTGAAATATAGAGTTATGGTTGTGGGCAATTAAAGATAGTAGTGGTTCTTGAATGTTGCATTTCCTTTCAATGTGGTTGGCCATTGATGAAGTTTTATTGAATTACTCTGTAATAAGTCCAGAAAGACAAAGAAAAGGAACAAAGGGCAATAACTCTATAAATACTGAAGATGAAGTTATAGTTCTTATGCACTGCACTTCCTCTTATTGTGCTTGACCATTGTCTGAAGTTGTTTTGAATTCCAACCAGTACGCTTTAAGTTATGCTCCGGACAAGGAAAAGTATCAAAGGGCAGTAACTCTGTATTTTGTCAAAATGGAGTTATGGCTCTTGTTCACTGCACTTCCTTTTAATGTCCTTGACAACTGTATGAAGTTGTTTTGAATTCCAAACAGTAGTTTTCAAATCATGCTCTGGACAAGGAAAAGTAACAAAGGGCAATAACTCTGTAATAAGTCAAGATGGAGTTATGGTTCTTGTGCACTGCACTTCCTCTCAATGTGCTTGACCATTGTATGAAGTTATAATGAACTCCAACCATTAGTCTTCAAGTTGTGCTCCGGACAAAAAAAGCAATGGAAAAGTAACAAAGGGCAATAACTCTGTAATTAGTCAAGATGGAGTTATGGTTCTTGTGCACTGCACTTCCCCTTATTGTGCATGACCATTGTATGAAGTTGTTTTGAATTTCAACCAGTAGTTTTCAAGTCATGCTCTGGACAAGGAAAAGTAACAAAGGGCAGTAACTCTGTAATAAGTCAAGTTGGAGTTATGGTTCTTGTGCACTGCACTTCCTCTCAATGTGCTTGATCATTGCATGAAGTTATAATGAATTCCAACAATTAGTCTTCAAGTTATGCTCCAGACAAAAGAAAGCAATGGAAAGTAACAAAGGGCAATAACTCTGTAATTACTTTAGATAGAGTTATGGTTCTTGTGCACTGCACTTCCTCTTATTGTGTTTGACATTTGTATGAAGTTGTTTTGAATTCCAACCAGTAGTTTTCAAGTTATGCCCTGGACAAAGAAAAGTAACAAAGGGCAATAACTCTGTAATTAGTCAAGATAGAGTTATGGTTCTTGTGCACTGCACTTCCTCTCAATGTGCTTGACCATTGTATGTAGTTATATTGAATTCCAACCATTAGTCTTCAAGTTATGCTCCGGACAAGGAAAATGCAACGGACGTCTGGACCGACCGACCGACCAACCACCGGGTGACTCCTATATACCCCCCCCCCCAAACTTTGTTTTTGGGGGTATAACAACATAGCTCCGCCCTATTACTGCTTACATAGTTTAACTATATCCTTAAGCCATATCAGCAACGCAACTCCATATAACCATATCAAACAAGTTAACTCCACCCTGTTACCATATCAACAACTTACTGTCATCCTGTAACCATGACAATACCTTCACCTCATCTCATTACCATTAAATAGCATCATCATGTATCTGTTAATTAACCCCACCCTATAACCATTTAAAACACTCAAATACACTCATATTAACAAGCACTACAATTAAATAAATGCCGTGCTCACAATCGAGCCTTGACGATTGCTCACAAGACACCAAAGTAAAACTTGTGGTGCCTGTATACTTATGACATAGGAAATTGTTTATAGTAATACTGCCTAAGTTTATACAGAATTTATTTCAGTTTTACTGTGTTGGAAGCTGTAAGCTAATTGACACACTTGAATTCATTCCTGGAACGAACAAGTACTAAGCAACAAGTGTAAAGTTTCTTGCTTAAGATAACAATGACTTGCCCCTGATGGGGTTCAAACCCATACGGCCAGCAATCCCTAAATAACTTGTCTGATGCATTAACCACTTGGCAATTCCATCACCAATACTGCCTTGTTTATTTCACATCCAGTGTAACACATTTCTTTTTCATGAAAAAAAGTTTCAAAGCTTCAAGTATAATCTGTTTATTATAAATCAAGGCCCTCCAGATGCAGAATTGGGAATCCATAACACCTTAAGTATACTTTAAATCAAAGTACTCTAAAAGCATTTTACCTGCAGAATCAAAAATCTGTTATGATCCAGATCTATGCCACTGGCTCTTAACAGAACTCCCACTTCCTTGTATGTAGATCTCTTTCCATTGATACTGTACACAGAAGAATTGTCCTTAAATGCTGTTCGAGCAACATTGAATTCTGAATTTGGCACAACTGTGTAATCATCTTCCCCTGCCTGTGTTTGAATGAAATTACAATAAATAATATCAAATTCTTTCTTTAACTAAACATAACTCTTCAGTAAAAGGCAAATAAAGCCTCCAAATGAATATGATTTTTCCTCTGAAGACAAAGCAAACCTATATCTCATAATGTTTTATTCGTGGATTTAGAGCATGATTGACATTAAATTTTATCACATGAACAAAAACAGCACTGAATGTGGAATAAATTGCAATAAAAGTAGAAAAATGTAAATTATAATAAATAGTATTTCATTCTTCCATACAAAATACTAAAAATATAAATAAAGTTTACAATTTTGCAATGATCAACTCTAATATATTTTCATTTACATAATCATAAGCATATATATGGTAGGTTTGTTTTGATAAAACTTGCCTCTCTGATATAAGAATAGGCCTTATCTTTTTATTTTTTTTCAAAATGAATATTTTACTTTCAGAGTAGGGATAAAAAGTTAGTACATATATTTTGAATACATTGGGGATTATTACCCCTCACTTTTTTCGTAATGCTAATTTTCCATAGGCCTCTGGGAGTTATTTTTACTGTTAATGCAAGTGTACCACGTAGCCCACAAACCCATGTGTTATTTATATAATGTCATTGACTTTTAGCTTTAAAACTAACAAAAAACATTCTTGCTTTCGTTCTATGGACCAACCACAGGTACATGGTTATCTATATATAACAATCTTAAAACATCTGAGAAATCAATTACCAGACAATAAAAGCAAATAAAGAAATTTGTCTTACCCCAGTATCAATGATTTTCTGAAAGTACACTGTCACAGTACAGCTGCCAATGTTAAGATGATTCTCACTGTTGTGTATAAGTCCACTCAGTTTCTTCAAACGTACTTTTGCAGCACGGTATCCAAATACAAACAACATGGAGTCAATGACATTAGACTTTCCACTACCATTTGGTCCAACAATTGAGGTGAAACTCTGAAAATATTTTAAGTCAATATAATGCCATTAATAATAGCCTACAAAAGAATGAATGAAAAGAATGTTAGAATATTTGAAAAAAAAAAAACAAAAAAAAAACATATAATATCAATATATACCTTGTGGAATGGACCAAGAGCTCGAATTCCTGCATAAGACTTGAAATTTTCATTGACAATCTTGGAAATCATTAACCTTGGTCCATTGATATCATAGGAAGCCACAGTTTCTGGTGCTGGAGGTACCTCTATTTCACCATAATCTGAAATAGACAAACAAATCTTTATAACATGTTCATGAATTATTACAGGTGTTTTAATAACACTTAACGGGCTGAATTTCCTAAATGAGCAATTTTTTGACATGCTAGGGCTCTCAAACCTAACTATACCATGTTGTTACATCAGTCTTCTGTTCCACTCAAAATTGTTAAGAGACAATCTATCTGGAGTTTAATAGCTTGTGGCACTTTGAATCATGATGTGATTTACTAATGGTACTGGTTAAATGACCTGCTTCTGACATCTGTGTAATATCAGTTTGTAAAATCGTTTGTCTAGTATTGCAACCAGTAGCAATTTAGAACATCAACGACCTACCAAGGTGCGTGACTTCCACCAGCTGCCTATTTGCTGATGACAGCCTGATCAAAAGTCGACACATTAGCTCTCCAAGAAGACCTCGATTGACTCCAGGAATGAAAGCGCAAGTGGATGATGTCCTTCAATCCCAGCAAATGTGAAATAATACACATCACCAAGAAAAGAAACCCCATCAGTCATGCCTACAAGGTCCACCAATTAACTCTTCATTCATAAGAAGTTATCACAAGCTGCCCACAAGATATCAAAGCCCTACAAGACCCATGTCTATCTTAATAAAATTAAGTGTCAAAGTTGCATGTTATAACGTCCTTAATTTTCATGCTTATGATTTGTATGAAAGATGAATTGTTAAATCTGTTAATTAAGCACATGGATTGAATAAATAATGATCGGAGGGGAATAAATAAATAAATAAAAAAAAGAATATTAAAAAAAAAAAAAAAACGTTGAAAAGGAAAAATAATTTAATAATGCAAACTTTTCTTAATGATGGACGATGGACAAACCTCTATACTGTCGGTAATTGACGCAATTATCAGAGCCCAACAACAATTATTTTCGATGTTTTTTTGGCTTTTGTTTTTTTTTTCAATTTAAAAATGAAACAAAAAAGGATTATTATCAAAATTTTGTAAACTATTTCAATTGATGTTATTTAACTGCAACCAAACGCTATTTTTTCTTGACGTCTTAAGATGTTAAGTAAATTCTTTACTGTAGCCAACACGTCGATTAATCTCTAAAAAGTAAACATTCTTGACTAAAATCCTCGCTTAAAGTCATAATTAACATATGCACTTTCGCCTTCCATATATTGTTGAAAAGTGCCGTACGGCTAGTCGTACGTGACTCACGTACGGCTATAACTTTTGGCTAGCCGTACGGCTACTAAGCCACTTCCTTCTTTTAAACTAAAAAAAGTGCACTTATTCGCCACAAACACTTTGTAACCACACCTTGTATGTTAATGCCCCAGATGTTATACTGGAAGAAGAAGAGTGGATTATGTACAGTACTGGAAGAAGAGGATTTTACTAAGGGTGTAACGGTTTACCGGTATACCGATATATTGCAATATGAAAAAATAAATTTCGAACCGCGGTACGATTTTTGGAAAACCGGTATTTTATAAAAATCATCATTTTCAATTAATTGCCTTCTAATTTTGTACAAATTTCACATAAAATCTTTAATTGGCAAAGTTTGTTGGCGCCAACGTAAGATAAAAGTATCCGACAACTAGTACACTTAAAAGTCAATAAGCGGCCGCATAATTTACATAAGCGGCCCATATGTGAAAGGTCACACGCGACTAGTTTTGTTTATCAAATTGTGTGACACTACTTTCTATTTATTCCTTACATTTTTATCAAGTTTCTACTAAAAATATATACATATAATGATAATATATAAATGTTACTCCATCTTTACATCAAAACATATACACGACAATACGTATTGCAATATATCGCAATACGCTTCAGCAAAATGGCAATATATTGCAATACGGTTTTTGCTGTATTGTTACACCCCTAGATTTTACAGTATGTCAATCATAGATCAGGCGTGAAAGTGAGAAAATGCTGCAGCAGCGGTATACTGGAAGAAGAAGAATCATCAATAACACACGCACTGTAAACAATTATTCGCTTTGGAAGAATTTCCTATAATTTCTAAAGTATCTAAAATGCTTGTGACATTTTGTATTTCAAAAAAAATTATATATTACATATCCCCACCCACTTCCACATACTAAAAACATTATTTTTCGCACCTTCCGCATGAAAACCACGACTTGCCACCGACACCTGGGCTTGTTCAACATTTGCGTTCTCTTCATTATCATTCTCAACTTCCATTGGAGTTGGATTTTGCTTAGGACTTTCTCTGATCTTTTTTCTTGGTGGCATTTTGTTTTGATTTGAATTAGTTGTTGTTAAAAACTGGCGCTTAAAAATGAAACCGGAAATTATGAAAATTGAGAAATGTGATTGGCTTATTTTTTAATTGCTAAAACCTTTTCACGGTACATACCGTACTCCTTTTCGCTTCAAAAGGGTTTCAAAAGACGGATCAACTTCATACTTCAAATATATGTACCTTATTATTAACTGTAAATATTGAAGGATTAACTGACACCTCACCTCTCAGACAATTCAACCTTCTTTTTAGACACTTCACCTTCCCCCCCCTATTTTTTATTTTGTGTTCAACAATAAATAATGTGTAAAACGTTAAATGTATTCAACAATAGTGATTGAGTCTATTTATTGTTTTAACATAATTTGTTATTTTTTCCTCATGTTATTGACCAAAGTAATGGATAAATTGTTGTTTTGCCCTATAAAAAAGGCCCATATCACAGAATTTTTTAAATAATAAATTCCTATTAAAAATATACTCAGTATATCTTATGTAGATTTCAGTTATAGTGATTTAACCGATAGTAGAATAATATTTCAATAATCAGGTTCATTCATTTAATGACAGATTAATTAGTGCTTTAAATTTATGATTAATTTACGTAACTCGTGATATTTCTTGCTTTATTGTTTTATTATATTATGGTCGTGTGGGTGATCTTTGTATTAAATCCAATCCTGTTAGTTTAAAGATCTTGGTGTTATATAATAGAAACACAACTAATTCTTATGTGATTCATTCATACCACTTTAATCCAATTAACTAATCAATTATGAGATAACTGTTGAATAAACAACAAATAAACATGTTGAATAAACAAGGTGACACGCAACAGGGTCTTTCAAATTCCATTTGAAAGACCCTGCACGCAATAAACACATAATGGATGAAAGTGTTTTTTATTATTATTTTTTTTTACAATGGCAATAAAATCAATAAACCTTATATTTAGCTTTAAACTAATAAGGATAAATGAGAAATGGATTATATGTTAATATTATATTCTTTAAAGATGTAAATTCATAAATGAAAAGTCAGAATGTCCTTAAAAATTGTAAGCATGGTATAAATATTAAGGTATTGAAATTTATAAACTGTATACCATGAATTAACAAATGTTGTGTTTTAAATATAATTTCAATTGTATAACAAAAATTGCACACCGCAAAGCCCATAGAGACACACACCATTAAGTTTTCGTTTGTGAAGCATATTTCATATTCTAAAAGCAATAACTACTTAATAAAAAATTGGACGAGGGGTGAAGTGCCTTACTGATTTTGGGGGATGAATTGTCTTATGCGGTGAAGTGTCTTCAAAATGTGAGGGGTGAATTAAGTGTCTGGGGAAAAGGGTCTTGTTTCCGCAGGTGATTCGTTTCCTCGATGAAGTTAGTATTTTTGTGTTTTGAACTTTTATTCTTGCAATCGGTCGCACATATATGTTTATTCTTTGAAAAAAAAATCATGATCACTCGATTATTTGCCAACATAATTGAAATACTATGATATTCATTGCGCATTAAATATATATATCAATACAGGGATGACTCAAAGCTTTGTCAATTTTGTTTATTTTGAACTAAAATAACTTAATTATAAGGTTGAATGAATTTGACCTTTTTAAAAACTCTTTTTCATTGGTGGATTTTATTTATGCATTACGTAGGCAGTAAACAACTTTCTATTGGTCGCCTATATTTTTGGGGTAGTCAGACTTTTCTCTCCCTTACCAGTTCCTCCCCTGACGTTTCCTCCCTGACGGTTCTCTCCCTATTTTGGGGGAGAACTGTCTGCATATTTGCAAATTAGAAGACATTTCCTCCCCATTCTTATTTTTATAATTACATTATTATTAAAGTATTTAGCTGATAAATAAATGGGTAAGTTTATTTTCAATTGATATAAATCAGAAAAAAATAGATTTTATTCAAATTATTGAAGTGTTTAGATGTTAAATAAATGGGTAGGTTTATTATAAATTGATATTAATTAGAGAGAAAAATACTTTAATGAAGTATTCAGATGTTTAATTCAAGTTTCAATTTTGTTAGCATCATCAGAAACAATAAATCGGTAAGTTTATTATCAAAAATTAATATAAATTAGAGAAAAAAAACTTTTATTGAAGTATTTAGATGTTTAATAAATTTGTAACTTTATTATCAATTGATATAAATTGAATTAGAAAAACTTTTTTTTAACATATGATAATAATAATGATCAATGATGATATTAGTTAATTATTCTGATTTTTTAATTGGATGTAATGTATACTTTTTAACGTGTTTAGTCATTGAAAATAATTACTGGATAATTTACTTGATTAGGGTACAGTAATCATAAGTTATTATTTTCTAAATTTCTTTTTTAATAAATAAAAATGAAATTTATAGGCAAAAAATGATTAATAAATTTTAATTGCTTAACTTTTGTGTAATGAAAAAAGGAGTTCAATACACACATGTATGCGTTAAGTTTGCTGTCAGTGATACTTGAGGAGTTTATTAATTCATTACTCAACAATCAAGGTGTTGATTAGATTAAAATAGCTGTGAAAAGGTGTTGATGAATAAGTAAATATATATTAGTTATTTGGTATTATATATTGTTTCAAGTTAATGACTAGATCAATTTTGTAAAAAAGTAAATGTGGAATGTGTTTGCATACCAGTTGTTGTTTATTTATTTTGTAGAACAAACTTGTTTCAACCGTATTCACTATTTAACAAATGAATGAACATCACAAGCTAGACCTTAACATAATTACAGATGTATATCAATCACTGTCCAATGATCTATATCTCTCACGATAAAGGTGTTGATAGGATTAAAATACTGAAAAAAGGTGTTAAATTTACAAACACTTTTCAGCTGATAAACATAAAATGCAGTTAATATCAAACACATTCTTTTAATAATCTTGACAAACTAAAATGATAACTTATAAAAATAAAATTGGGGGAGAACTGTCTGCATATTTCAAATTTGGGAGAGAACCGTCAGGGGAGGAAACGGTTAGGGAGAGAACCGTCAGGGAGAGGAACTGGTAAGGCGGAGAATAGTCTGTCATTCTATTTTTGGCGGTAAACTTTTTTGTCTCTTGCGCTTCTGCCTTTTTGGTTCATTCTGTATTCGTTTGACAAGAAGATCACATGTTGAAAATTCTATTTTGGGTGTGGCTGGATTATGAATATTACTTCTGTAATGATTAATGGATTGTCATGTGGATAGACAAAGACATTTTGATTGAGTTTCATGATGAAACAATTTCTATTTGTATTGAATAATATAATCATTTAATATGAATGTGAAACATGTGATCTCGAATTACCTAATAATATGATATCAAGATCAAAATTTCTCTTGTGTTTTCTTTTAAATGATAACTTATAATTTTGTTTATTTTGAACTAAAATAACTTAATTATAAGGTTGAATGAATTTGACCTTTTTAAAAACTCTTTTTCATTGGTGGATTTTAATTTATGCATTACGTAGGCAGTAAACAACTTTCTATTGGTCGCCTATATTTTTGGCGGTAAACTTTTTTGTCTCTTGCGCTTCTGCCTTTTTGGTTCATTCTGTATTCGTTTGACAAGAAGATCACATGTTGAAAATTCTATTTTACCCTCCACGCCCGCCCTTATTGTGTGTTATTTGTATATTTTATTGTACAATATTGTATTTTGTAGAAGTTATATTTGAAGAGTTGCTGGATTATGAATATTACTTCTGTAATGATTAATGGATTGTCATGTGGATAGACAAAGACATTTTGATTGAGTTTCATGATGAAACAATTTCTATTTGTATTGAATAATATAATCATTTAATATGAATGTGAAACATGTGATCTCGAATTACCTAATAATATGATATCAAGATCAAAATTTCTCTTGTGTTTTCTTTTAAATGATAACTTATAATTTAATTTGAGACTAAAATACATATTATAATCCAAATAATAATTCTAATGACCAAAAGAAAAACAACTATGTCTTTTACGGAAACTATATAATGACGATCCTGTTTAACAAAGAGAAATTAAGTAAGTGAAATGTTCACTGAAAGATGAAATCTTGAACTTATGCAAATCTATATATTGAGGATACCAAATGCATCGATTACATAGTTTTAAATTTTAGTACATGTCTAATAATCGGGATGGTAAACATTTTCTCAGAAAGACAAGTTTTAAATTTAAAAAAAAAAATCGACGTATTATAAGCTTTCAAGACAATAAAGATGTTGTAGGTCCTGGATGTAAATTTGTAAAGATATCTTTAAGAATGAAGTAAAAAAGAATAAATGCAATATTCAAACATAAGCATGTCGTTAGAAGTGCATAATCCAAAAAGTTGACAGTAATTTATAATATCCCACCCAAGAATTAATTGCTTGAACATTTTAAAGGGTCTGCTTAATGCCTATGAAGTGGGTGACAATATTGCTGAAAATTTAGAAATATCACATGAAGAAATAGATAATGAAGTTAATAATTTTTAATTCTGAAATTACTGTTCAAAGCTTAATTTATGCCTCCAGATGAGTCAAAATAATATTTCAATAAAATCAACTTGAGAAAAATGTACAACGATGTAAGGGAAAGTAAATGGTTTCATGTTTCAAGTAATATTTTACATATTATGTGCGATTAATGACAGATTGTTCAATATTTACAACTATATTACTACATGTAGCTACTGCGTTAAGTACTAATGCAGTAAAGGCCATTTATGCATATTTTGACCACTTTTTGGTAATTTACGTAGTTTGTAAGTGCCATTGATATTGCATAAATTGCTTCCTTTAGATAACTTCACTAGTATTCAAATACTGAATATCAAAATTTTCATGAAAATTAGCATGAATCTGCATAAAGAGCTAAAAGCCAGAGCAAATTTAATCTTATTCCAGAGTTTTTCATATCATATATTCATTCGGATTTTCGTTATCATTATCTTATGGCTACAGTTTACGTCATCAAATTAGTTTGAGCTATAATAGTTGTTTTGAAATGCCTACAGATATCGGAAAGTAAGACTCTGCA